CTAAAGTGATGGATGACTGCTCGTACTTCTGTCAGAAGCTTTATGAAAATATCTGACTTTGTGCCAGCACATACGGCCGCTCCGCACCTCCTTTAAAGCGGTGCCTGAAGTCACTGAGAACAGCTGGCTGAGGTTTCATCTCCAACAAAGACTTGCCAGATGGCCACCTCTCTATACTGAAGAGTCTGGTAGAGTTACAAAACATCCAAGTCCTTTAGTGCACACTGTCCAAAAAAACCCCCACTCTGCTTAATATGGTCATTATTTAACCACCCAAGTGTAAAAGGCAGTCAGTGCATCGTTGCAGAGGCGCAGGGTCACTCCTTTGTTCATTAAGCCATTCAGAAAATGTGTTTTTCTGCAGCGCTGTTGAAAAAGTTGTTTTCCATTATTCTGACATTATGCAGTCCCTACATTATTCATGATTATGATGTTAGTGAACCACCGCACTAATTAATTAGAGTTGGGTATACATTAGGGTCCTCAATGATAAAGCTGGTATTTCAGCATGTGACATACACTCACTGCCACTTCTTTAGGAACACCTTTCTAGCACCAGGTTGGATCTTTTGCCTTCAGACGTCCTTTAATTATTCATAGCACAGATTCAACAAGGTGCTGGAAACATTGCTCAGAGACTTTCGGTTCATGATAGCATCACAAAGCTGCTGCAGATTTGTTGGCTGCACATTCATGATACAATCCCACCACATCCCAGTGAAATCAGTGTCAAGTTTAAGAAAGCAGTTTGAGATGATTTGAGGTTTGGGGCATGGTGCCCGCTGCATTACAGGGGTAATCGGTACAGTCATGAAGGGAATGACATGATCAGCAACAGTAGGGACCCAAAGAGTCCACTCTGTCATACCAACATCAGCAACCTGATGGTAGCATGCAGGATGGATATGTATCTGAATGTCACAGCAGAAATCGAAACTCAGAACAGACCAAGCAGCGTTTTTCTAATTTTAGTGAGCCTGTGCAAAAGTAGGCTGGAGTGGGACCCAGTGTGGTCCTCTGCTGCTGTAGCTCATCTGCTTCAAGGTTTAAAGCATGATGTGTTCAGAGATGCTCTTCTGTTTGACTTGATTGTGACAAGTGGTTATTTGAGTTACCGTTGCCCACCTATCACCCTCAGGCGGTCATGCCATTTTCCTTTGAGCTCTGATATCAATAAAGCATTTTCACCCAGAGAACTGCTGCTCACTTCACGGATTCTTTGTAAACCCTACAGTTGGTAGTCGAGGAAAAGTTGAGTAGTAGATCAGCAGCTTCTGAAGTACTCAGAGCAGCCCACCTGGGTCAAAGTCACACACACACACACACACACACACACACACACACACACACACGAGCTGTAAGTTGTGGTGACTGAGGAGTACTGTCAGTAATCATGGAGGACTTTCCTTTAATCATGAAAAATTCAAGCAACTTTTCATGAAATTGACTTTTTAATTAATGGGAAAAATTCTAATTATTTTGGTCAATATTCAGATCATTGATAGACTTAATTAAATCAAAATTTTAATAAACTCTTTAAAAAGTTTGTATGTTGATTAGAATTTAACTTATTTAAAAAATAAACTGAACTAAGTCTGTCACAGCTTGGTAGAATTTGGGGAAAAAGGGGGTTGCAGTGAAAGATAAAACGGGAGCGCCTCGGTGAAGCGAAATGTGGCGCGGTAATAGTTTTGTAATTGTTTTAATGATCACTGGAGGCCAAAATTGTAATTGAAAATAAAATTAGATTAATTCCACAGCCCTGCTTCCACTCATTTTAAAACAGGCTTTGAACAGACTTTTGATATAATGATGCATCTCTCACCTCATAAACCTGCCACACCTCTTAGCAACAGACTCACGTTACACCACAGCACAGAATCTGTTAATGTATCGATTAGACCAGACGGAAAAGATGTTCTTACAGAGAAAACACCCGGAGCGCTTCTTAGAAAGACGAAAATAACACTGTTTTGTTGAGATGAAATATTTCCACGAGTGCAGGAAACATGTTAAAGTTGCTAAAACCTTTGGCTAGCATGCAGTGCAAAGGTACAGAAAACTGTTCCCCGGTGTAAATGTGGTTTACTGATGCAAGTATGTCGGCAAACAGCCAGTGTACTTAAGATGATGTATACTTGAAGTAGCAGGAGCAGTGCCGCCTACGCTATTCCCACCGGCCTGTCTGCCTGACATATTCACATATTGTGATTGCTTTTGGATAATGATGATCTTTGAGCAGGGTCTGAGCAAAGCGAGTGATTCATATAATCCTTGACAGCGAAACTGTGGTGCTTTTACCACCTCTGAGGAGTCCAGTTCTTATTGCATTTCTGCAGGTCAGGAAACCAGAAACACAGACACAAAGCAACTTTTCCCCTCTGTGTGTGTGTGGTTTTTTAAAATCACAGGAGTCTGAATGAGCTGAGGGTGTTACTCCTGGAATCACATCGTCATTCCCGGGATATGGACAAAGACCTGAGCCGAGAGGTCCACAAGGCTGAGTGGAAGGTCAAGGAGCAGAAACTTCAGGATGACATCAAGACGCTGCGAGAAAAACTGCTTTTACTGGTGAGAACAAAGCACCGTGGAATGATTGGACAACACTAAACCACATGTCGGTCCCACATTTTGAGGCTTTTCTTTTTTGTTATTTAAATTAATGTTAAAAACTAAGTTTAGAAATACAGGAGAATCAGCACCTTGATAAGCCTGGCCTGTGATTTGTGTGATTATACATTTGTTTTCACAGGTTCAGTGGTCCCAACTATGAAGCACACATTTCTTTTAGCATATGAAATATAAACATTGGTTGAAAAGCCTTACTTAAGATAACCTGGATGATAATTTACTGACAATAAACTCGCTGGTTTCTAGTTTTCTGATAAAGAATTTTATCAGTGTATACAGTGTGAGCTAGGGCTGTTCGATATGACAGCAACAATGATGGTAAAACCATTGTGTGGCTCCGCGTGATTATTTTCCACATAAACCTTTCACAATAAAGCTGAAGATCCTGTTGAGGTTTTTCAAAATAAACTGAAATGACGACAAACTACAATATTCTCAAACCTCAAATTTCAGACTATGCAACAAACAAATTATCTCAAATGAATACAAGTAGTAACTATAACTGGCGTTTACAGTCACCACGTGGATGCAGGCACAGAGAATACCAGCATGGCCAGTAAAGATCAGGCAGAACCAGGTAGTTCCAAACAGAAAGACCAGTCAAAACAAATCCTTTGTCCTAAACGAGGGGCTACCTCTGTAGCATGGACATGGTTTCGTTATGAAAATTCTGACATGGACGAGAAAAATCGGGATGTCGGTGAAGGTTCTCAGTCATCCAGGTCATTGTAGTCTAAGGAGCTTAGAAAGAAAAGCGTCTGGACTTTTTTAAGTTGCTTGAAGACGTTTCACCTCTCATCCGAGAAGCTTCTTCAGTTCTAGTGTCAAATGGTGGACAGTCCCAAATTTAAGCCCTGTGGGAGTTTCCCCCCCAAGAGGGACAATAGACCTAATGATCCTCTACCTAATCACATGAGCCAAGATGTGAAAACGGGTGTAGGTCACAATCAGCCAGGGTTTCAGGTGAGCTCATTGGGAAACCTGGCTCCACCCTATCATGTGATTTCCTGAGGTCACATGGCCCAGGGTGTAGGTGGGCATTAAGGCATCTGGGAAGGGATATGAGATTTTGGTCACAGCCCTAGTGTGAACATACCCTAGATTCTCAGGTGCTTTTCAGTCCATGTTGGTCTGCTGTAAAGACGGTTTTGGGTTCACAATGATGATGATGAGGAGAAGTTTGCTTTGTTAGTATGTTTACTTTATTCCCATTTCATTATCTCGCATGAATGACTTTACAGCATTATTTCTGGAAGTAACCAGCTTTCATACTGAAATTGCCTCGATTTCAGTCTGTTTTATAAATTTGGATGTTGAGCATGCTCAACTTTCCCTGGAAAGATCATTTAACACTGAAGGTTTAATCTTTCATTTAAAATAAAGACACCAGACTTTCTGTCAGGTAAAGAAATAGTTTGGTAATTTGCACTGAAATACAGTCACTTGCCTACCTGAGATTTCATGTTCAAAACTGAACTTATAACAATGGACTGTTTTCACAAATTGATCAGCCTACTCAAGGGCAACAGAAAGTATTAGAGCTGTTTTTTCAGGTGAGCGATTCTAACTAGCAAACATGCTGTTATTTTATTTTGTAAAAGCAAAACAGTTTTTAAACTTTGTGCACTTTGGGTTTTTTCCTGCAGTTAAATTCAGTTACAAATATGTATTAAGCATTTATGGCACCTGCTACAGAGGCTTCTCCTTCTAAAGGAAAGTTATAATTATAAATACATAACATAACTTTTTAATTTTTAACATTTTTTATAAGACGGGCATAATGTACACTTTTGTTTATCAAATACATTAAAGCATTTGGGAATCTTAAATAAGGTAACACTCATGCTTACATGTGTACTTTCTCCACAAAAAGTCAATTTTAACCTCATTTCTGAATTTGCCCAACTCAATTTTTATAATAATTTCCTGGAAAATAATTTGCTCACCCACTAATGGATTGATTTAGGACCTAATCCATACTTCAGCTTGATCTGGATCTGACTTATGTCGAGTCCACAGAGTACTGTCAAAAATATGTCACATTTGACCTCTGACCTCTCCTTCAAAGTCAATAGATTGCTCTGAAGGTTAAAGTGATAATAATAGAGCTATTTAAAGAATAGATTGGTTTGAGTATTATCGATTCATTTTATTATGACTTTATCTACATTAGAGTAACAGATTATAACGATTTAAACACATGTATAAAGTTTCATGTAAACTACATGATGTAAATCCTGTAAAATGGGTAATAGAAGCCTGCTCTTTGCACTTGTTTCACTACAAAGTACTTGAAGTGCGTTAAAAACAAAAGAAATATATACAAAACCCATAAACCTAATACAGTTTGGATGATTTAACTTACTTACCAGTTAGCTTGTGCGGTTCTTTCAGGGTCGGGAACGATCCTCCCCTGACCACCGGCGGTACTCGATGCTAGACCCCTCGGCTCTGGACTCGGAGGTGACCCGTCTGCGCCAACGGCTGCTCAGCACTGAGGAAGCCCTGAGGAACGCCTTGGAGCACAACCAACAAGTCGACCAGCTGGTCCAGGCCATGCGGAAGAATCCAGAAAAAAGCCCGGTAAAAAATTTTTTAAAAAACAAGATGGAGAAACATGCAACCACACATTGACATATCCATACTACAGCTAGTTTGTGTTTGGGGAATAAACCCAGGCAGACATAGGGAGTACGTGCAAACACTTCACAGAAAGGCCTCTGCAGGCAGCAAATGCAATCACGCTTTCAATCCTCACCTAGACTGCATGCACGCAGCCAGAACGTTTCTGGTACCAAATCCCATCAGTCTCCTACAAATGGTAGCTATTAAGACTGTTTTAAGATGTTAAAACCCAGGTCACCTGAACAGGTCTTCTAATGTCCAATCAGGCCAAGAACAGGACTAAAATGATCATTTCTGACTGTTTTCCAGGTCCACGGTGCAAATTCGGCTAATGGAATTCACCACCAGGAGTCACACAGCGCTCAAGATGTTGGTATTCTTTCCTTTTGCTTTTTTCAGTCATTGATTTAATAATAATAATAATAATAATAATAATAATAATAATAATAATAATAATAATAAATTTTAAGGAAGACATGCTTTACGTTTCCTTCCCTAGGAACAACACTGATATGAGCAGAAGCGATGAGAGTGGGACGCTGACGTGACCCCGAGTGAACTGGGACGTGCTGAAGTACACCTGAAACGTCAAAGTTTGGTCCGACGTGTCTCCCGATGCTGCGGTGGACGCCTGAAACATTTCAGTTTACAGTTAATACCAAAACAGCGAATCTCTGTCTCAAGTGAATATATGTGTTGTTACAGAAAGCACCTATTAGCCAATCATGAAGACCACTTAAAAGTACTTTAAACAGGAAAAAATAAGGAAAAAAAAAAAGAGATATGGACGTGAAGAGATTATCAGCTCAACAACTGCTGAGAACTGGCAGTGTGGCAACTTTTGATGCTTTACATTAGTTAGAAAATTTGAAGTTTTGTCATTCGCTGAAGTCTGAATGACTGCGCTGAATTTTGACGAAGAAAGCAAAAAGACTGATGGACGACGAGAAGAAAAACTGGGTCTCAGTCGCTTTGTTTTATTTATTACTTTTATTTTGCTCCTTGGCTTTGTAATAATCCTGTCTGCTGTACGTGAGCTGATGGCCTGATTTTGTTTTTATTTTAAAGGAAGTTTGACTCGTGTCTCACCTTGCTTGATATCTGATGAGGATTGGTAGCAAACATTACCCTTAATCCAGAATTATTTGAACTCAATTTTAGTTACACTGCACCAGATCAAAACAAGTCATCTCAGGGCACTCGCCATAGTAACTACAACATTACACTATAGTAATAGCATCTCTGCTACCAACTTTGTGAAAATAACCAGTTTTTACAGTAACTTTTCAACTTTGTGTTTTTAAAAGGAACATGAGCACTGAACAAATACAAAAGCAACAGTTTGTTGCAATATAGGAGAAGATGACAGAGAAGGTGGAAGAATAGTACAAAGCAATGCTGTCCTGTCTGCAGACCGAGTATGTACTGATCCAGCACAGTGCTGGATGTTGACCTGAACGTTTGAAAGCTTGGCCATGTTTAATATGAGCAGTCACCATGATAACAGTATATACATAAGGAAAAGTGTAATAAGCCCAATGTAAACAGAATATAAGGACAGTGAAGAACGTGCTTTACTGAACAGTGGCATCATTTCTATTCCTCTACAGCCACCGCCTGGTCAACATTTGTTTGCAGCAAACAGGAAAAACGCCCTTGAAGTTATGAAGTTCTCAGGCAGCTCCTCAGAACCATTTGGTCCCAAAGCGCCTTAATGTACGTCTACTGGTAGAAGCACGATGAGCACAAACTTAGGTTCAGTGTGGTCGTTTAAATGTTGACTGGAGCTCTTTTAACGGTCATTTCTGATCCAAGGATAAAATACAAAATCAACCTCTTCCCGTCTTGGAAGACCCCGCCCTCCCTCGCCAACACACATGAAGAGCGTCATCTGTTACAGGACTGATGGTGATGATGTTACTACCAATCCTCCCTTAAGGTGTTTGTTAAGCTTTTCAGCCATTTACACATCAGTGGACTCATTGTGCAGACTGAACCTGGGAGACGTTGCAGGACATTTGTAGTACAAATACAGTGAACCATTTCAGACTTTTTCATTGTCTAAAACTGTCTGACCGCGCATCAATACATCTCTTTCTCTGATCGGTGGCTTTGTGTTAATTTACTATATATGGTACATATATATGGTACAAAATACAGTGTGAGCCCATTGTAATGGCCCTGGATTTCTTTACTGACCCTTTCTGAAGTCTTCTGAAGGGCTTTCCCAGGAGCTAAAACCCAAACAGCAGTGTGGGAATGTGGGAAGTTACGTTCATCTTTCCCTGGATCGAAATCATCCGGATTTCATTTGCCTCTAACATTTATACTCTTAAGTCTTCCAAATATTGTTTTTATCCATTTGTCAAACTGAACTAAGGGGGGATCCTGTTTGTAGTTGGTCACAGGTTGCTATTGCTTCACAGGAGACACTACACAGAGGTGGGGTGGGGGTGTGCAGAAAGGCTTGAGTAGTGTCCCCTGAGAACACATGCAGGGCAGGCACTGGTCAGCTTAAATAAAACCTGAATTTTCCACTGGATATTGTACATGGCCTTTACAGCTGGAGGGTTCATACCCTTTGGAGTATTGCTGCGATGGTTTTGGAGATTGAGTCATTAAATATTAACAATGCAGGCAAGGGCTGCTGGTGTTTTATTTCACACCCCTTCATGCTTATACGACTTTCAGCATGTTTGTTTTTGAGACCAAGCGCAGCAGATCGGAATATTTCTGCAGAGCTGGTTTAAAGCGGTGGTGTCGGATTTAGGGGCTCGGCGGTTTAGGAGATTCAGCCAACAACCATAATGTGCATGGCTAAATATTTGTCATTAAATAAAACGCAGTGATATCAGCGAGAAAAGATGGCAATAAATCCTTCATGAGGGAAAAGTTGCCACACGGTGGAGATGAGACATCCAGACGCTGCACACTTATTTACAATCTCTAGATTTCTAGCCTCCAGATTTATCAGTTTTATTTGTTGGCCTTGGCAAATGTCAGGGCTTATCCACATGTCCCAGTTTCTGCTAGAGGGCTGATTGGTTATGCAGGTGACATTTTGAATAAGTAAGAAGTGACTTCTTTGTAAAAGCACAGCATAGATGAGGCACAGATGTCATTTTTGCTCTTGGTGAAACATAGTTGAACACAGCAGTTAAGAGGGAAAAGTAACTGAAACTAGCGAGATTGCCATGGATTTAATGTAAATAACTTATGATTAAAATTTAATGGTCCAAGTACTTTTATAAGAAACGTTCCCTTTTCCTCACAGATGGGATATCAAGCTAATGTTAGTTTACGGGGCACGTATAACTAAACTTGGTATTAAGACGGTTGGACAAGTTAAACGATTGCATGCTGATGTCTATTTAATGTAATAAAGTAACCAGTGCATCAAAAAAATAACCAAGTAAACCTAAGTTTCACCATTTATTACGTTAAATATTAATAAAGCCATATGAACAGTTTTATTTATATTTAATATAATAAAGTAACCAATCAATTTATTGTGCGTTTAAAAAAAATAAATAAATAAGGAACCAAGTAAAAAGTTACACTTGGATTTACTTGGTTCCTTTTTCTTTACATTAAATATAGTGCAGCTATTTATATAGCATGTTTCAAAGCATAAGCTATAACAGACATTCTAGCACAATCCTTTTTTTTTTACTAAAATCAGATGAAGCTGGATGTAAATAATATTACCCATAAAACAAATAAGTGTAAAAAATATATATAACTTAACATTAATAAACACCGTAGAAATAAAATGAAGTAAGATCATCAGTAGTCCAATGAAACTAAAACAAAAATGAAAACAAGCAGAAATTGGGAACAATTACGTTTAAAACCAGCAACTATAGACTAACAGCTAACGGCTAAACAGGCATGTTTCTACTTTTAAACTTCTAATGGTCCAGTGCACCTAACAAGACTTTGCAAGGCATAAAACCTAAAACGGGTTTCATTACCATTTGTTGTGACTCATGAAATAACCTGATCCTGCTGACCCGAGGGGTCAAGCTGGGTCGTAGCTTACTGGCAAATCAGAGCGATATTGATGTCTCGGACCGTGGAGCAAAACAAAAATACGAGCTCAAATTTTAAAAATCAATTCTAAAGCTAAAGTGAAGCCAACGACCTTACGACAGCTGTTAAAAGGTCATAGTAAAACTGACTTTTTTAAGACTAATTAAACATTCACACCCATTTACATAACAGATGGCCAAGACTGGGATTATAGTTTATAAATTCAGTTCAACTTCTACAATATGCAGATCACAGTGGAGCTAGAGAAGCAGAAAAACTTTACATATTGAGGTTTGGGCACTACATTTTAATTCTGGTTAAAACATTTTGTCAGAATCTAGAAACTTTTTCTTATTTTTAAATATTCATATATTTCCACACCTGCATGGAAATGTAAAAAAGAAAAGCACCTCTTCTCTAGGATCTGAACTTTACCCTATATCAAACAGACATGAGCTATTTTGGGCAATCACTGCAGCTATGGCATAACTTCCATGGCCACAAGATCCATGTAGCTGCCGTAGATCCACTTTGGACAGATCCTAATCCTAAAAATACTTTGGATACTGCGCAGCTATCGCATCAAAGCACCTACACGCAGTCTATGAAGGATTTCTTAAAACACAAAGTAATGTGTGAAGTTGCTGTCAAGTGGCAGACGGTGATTTAAATAGCCACAGTCTAAATAAAATATATGCGCGTTTCACTATTATTATTTTTTAAGGACATTCTCCTTTCCGTGTACATTTTGCTCTCTGAGGGTTTTTCCAGAGGTTGCTCCGTTAATCCTGTATGTAAATTGCAGCCAATAGATGCTGTTGTTGAGTTGGGCTGGGATTAGCAGGAGGCGAATGAGTTTCAATTTTACTGGATTACAGAACAAAGAAAGGGGAAAGGGACACCCTGCTCTGTTAAGGGGAAAAAACAGACATAAAACTAAGAAAAAAAAATACACAAATAGCAGACAACGGGACGTGAGCTCGAAGTCGTCGTTGTGATGATCCGGATTACGATGTTTTAGCAGATGGCACAGCTACATTGTGGATGGGAATTGTGAGCGTTTCTGATGGATTAAAACGGGGGAATAAACCTATTCCGGGATTGACAGCAGCAACAAGGCTATTTAATCGCTAATTAAGGTGAGATTTCGATGTCCGTTTTGACATTATTGAGGAGTTACGTTCTGCGCCCTCGCAAAGCTTGCGGCTTTTGTGATTGTGCATTTAGAAATTACAGATTATAACCTAATTTCGGGACTGGGGGAGGAGATGAAAGGAAAGTGCTAGCGCTAGCTAGCATAAAGGGGGCTAGCGCCGCACTGCTAGCTCAACGCTCTAATGCTACCGTTAGCTAATTAGCCAGCGATTATTAGTTAGACATATGGTAAGTAGCGGAGAAAGGTTACCGATAGTTAGCAGGTTTCAGGGACTCCTCCCTTTAACCTTGCGAGCGGAAAGCTAGCCTCTGTTTATGACTGGGATGCAGCGTCTGTCTGCTTGGCAAATTATCCCCCATATTTCTTTTTAACGCTATCACTTACCAGAAGGTTACCCAGCTAATACAACAAAGCCAGCTAGCCGCATTAGCAAGTGTAAGAAAGGAAGCTACACATTTCAACTTTCAGCCAAAGGATTTGAATAACTAACAGCGCTGTCGACTTTCATACCAGCCTCGACACACAGGCACTGCGCCGCAGTTAACTTTAACAGAAATCACTAGTCGTCCTATAATTACACCCAGTTTTAAAACAGCGCTCGGTACTCTAAATCAGTGGTTGCATGTATCCAAACAGCGAGCGTTTAATTTGGACATTAGGGTGTTATTTTCTTGTCGTTTTAACCTCAGCTGCTTTCTTGTAGACACACGTTAAAGTTTGTTTTTGAAAACAGCTGACTGGAGTGAAACTATCAGCTGTTGGTGTTTGGAGAAATTAGCTGAGGGGGAAAAAGTAGACATCCCATCCATGTCTGATATGCGATTTCACTGCTTACCTTTCCCCTTTACCTCAGCTGTGACGTGAACTTTTTAAAGAGCATTTAAACAGATGTGCAGTATGAAGACAGCATCGTGCCAACTCAGTTGAAATTACTGTAGTCGAAATCTACTTTAATTTTTCTTTAGTAAAATACAGCTTAACATAGTTGAAGTTCTGTTAAACTGACCAGAAAGTGAAGCTTCTGGTCAAATAAAGGTTTAGAGAAAAAAAAAAGTTTCCCTAGTTCTTTATCAGTTTCCTTATGTCACATATACCCTTTCTTACTCCAATAAAAAGGTTTTATCCGAGTAAAAATCAAACCTCTTTAGGAGTCATTTTAAGTTTAAGGTGTTACAGCCGACTCGATTTTCAACTTTTAACTTTGGAGAACTTAGGAAAAAAAGAAAAAAAAAAAATATCACACCAGTGGTGACTTACAGCTTCTGACACAGCAAACAAAAGGATTGTCTGCTGCTGGAAGGAAATGTTAGATAACATCTATCAAACCACACCCAGACTTACAGCAAGGTGCTGTGCCTTTCCATGAAAAGGGACCAAAAAAACAAAACACTCTACCCTCAATGACTTGCATATAATTCTTCTAGCAGGATGAACTTTAGATTAAGCGTCGTTTTCGCTTCCCTTTCCCAATCAGACACCTTCTGAGGACTGCGCTTGATTGACACTCCCGAGTTGGCTCGCACTTCTTTGGGCCGGTGAAACTAAAACATTTACAGACTCTTAAGTTGCACACCACCAGTTGGAACGATTTCAGTCTGTTTTCGGCTCAGTTTCCTCACACAAATATGCTACTTATGCCAGCCTGAAACACTGGCTTTTTGAGCACAGCGGCATCATAAACGGCACAATAAAAACTCAGTTCACATTGCTTTTTCTGGTTAGATCCAAGGCGAAATTGACCCCCCATTTGAAAACATTTCAAAGCTATGAAAGGATGAAATACAGAAAATAAACTTCGTTTACAATCAGTTTCCACCTTGAGTAGTGCATCACGAACTAGCTTTCGATGCTATACTAGCTTTCATCTATACTTCACAAATCTGTGAACAGGAAAGGATTGTTTTAAAAGCACCTCCATTACCTGATGTTGGCTATAACACAATGGAAATTTAACATCGCAGGACACACCCAGTTATTTTGGTTCACGAAGCTTTGCCATTAGCTTAAACCTTCAACCTGAGCACCGGCATAATCAGCCACAATAATTGGAGACACCTGTGTGGCTAAGCAGGTGTGCTGGAAACCCTTCTCTCTGTGATGGTGACCTTGAGTGGTATTATTATGCTACACCATTTAGGATTAATAGTTAGTTATATATATAGTTAAATATAATTGGTGTTTACCTGCAGGCCTTTTTATTTATAGTTTCTTTATGTAATTTGATCATTTTTGAAACACACCTTTGAGCCACAAATACATGAAAAGATGTCTACATTTGTAAGAATTGCAGTAGACCAGGTGCTGTCCCTACACCACATAAGTTCTATAGGAGCACCTTGTACTAAAATATGTCTATCTTTAATTCACCTTAGTCAGCAAGAAACATTGAACCTTATGAATCACACTAACATTAACCTTGCCTACCTCTGATGCAAGATAGAGGTTTAGTATTTATTTAGGGAATTAAAATCTAAAGTTTTAGTGCCTTCAAAAACAGTGGCTAAATATCTTAAAGGGGACCTATTCTGCTCATTTCCAGCACCATGTTTATTCTTTTTACACTCAGGAGGTAGAGTAGGTCATCTTCTGAGAGAAAGGTTGACAGTATAATCCTGGATACTGACCCTAATTAATCCATTGGGGTGTGTGGAAACGTAAAAGCGCTGTATAAATGTATGTATAAAAGTCCTTTAGTGGTTAGTTTGAGACGACAAGCTTTACAGAAGTATCACCCCGAAAGCCAACCCTCCCGATTGGCTGCTTCTCACAAAAAGAAGGTTTGAACAGCAGTAGGAGGAGCTTCTGTGCTCACGTCAAGAGCTGTGTGCCGGTGATGACTGTAAAACATACAGCTTAACTCTTAATGACATCATACAGAGCCAACAGTAGGAAGAAACGTCAGTTTTAAAGCAGTAGGAAGGCTGAGTTTTAGGCTCACAGGGATTACTTGTACATATGCTGACTTCATTGTTTGAACTTAGGTTATGTTTAATATAAGCATCCATTATAGTACAACAACAGCACTGTATATTACAGAAAATAAGGGGTTTTGACTTGATGTGGCTACGTTTCGCCCTGTTTGTAGAAAGTAAAACATTAAGACTTGAGGTATAATAGCTACGCTGAGTTTTTTGTTTCATGTGATCATAAAAATGTCTTGTGTCAATTAACATCTGAGCACTCAGACTGAGTTTTGGTTTTGCATTAAGCTGAATTCATTATATTCATTTACCACTTGCTGATGATGATGCTCAGGCAGTTTGCAGAGAATCTTAACACGCATTCGAAACACTGCAAGTTGACTAGATCATAACCAGATAGAGAGAAAGTCGTATGTCTTTTGTGTCATATCGGGTTACTGATTATGTTATAGGCGAATTAATGGAATTGAATTTTCATTTAAAAGTCAATTGTGGTTTACACCGATGATAAAAATAAAGTTTTTCTTTAATTTGTGCGTTTTCCCATGCAACATGTTCTTTTCCTTCATTTTTGCTCTTTCATGTAGTTCCCATTTGCTCGTTGCCAGGCTGTGGCTGCTTTAATTCAGGTCACATTCATTCATTTAGTTTATTCATTTGAGCTGCAATCAGAGTTACTGAAAACTCACTTAATAAAAAGAGTTTTATCTGTCTTCCTTTTTTAAATTGAGTAAATCCACCATTTTTCCAGTTTATGTGAACATTTGTATTAAATAACCATATTGTCAGTACTGGACAAAAATGAATGTCATTAAGAGTTTTGCTATAATTGAGCAGCCCTAGCAGGCAGGACCTTTATCAATGGCTCAAAATTGTTCTGTCCAGGATAGGGCTGCCACAAACGATTATTGTGATAGTCGACTAGTCACCGATTATTTTTGCGATTAGTCGACTAATCAAAGCATGCATCCATTGGACGTAAAACGTACAGCTTATTGCACCAGCAGCATCTGCTCTTATAGAACTACCATTAGCTTACAGCTTTAAGTGTTTAAGGTATGTGCTAACTAAAAATAAAGACAAGATGATACTTTATTAAATTTTAATGAAATCTGCAGATTGTTTAGGTGAAGTTTAATAAACTCAGCCGTCTGCTCCTTGCTATCTAAAATATAACAGGACACCGGAGTATATTCTTGAGCATCTCACACTTCTGATAATCAGCTGTCTGCTTGAAGTTTATTCAGCTGTGTAAAAACTATAACTTTAATCTCAGCCAAATCGATTTACTCAGGAACAAATAAAATACTAAAAAAAGCCAAACAATAACATTTTTAAGTTATCTATGTGACTTATATATGTTCAACCTGAGTAGCAAAGGACAGCGGTGGGTTTGAAAACGATTTGCCGGGAGTCCGGTGTTCTCACGGCTCTAGTGAGCCTAGCCCCCGGCTAGCTATCGAGCTAGTGGGCAACAGAAGTCTCCGAAAACGTCGGAGCGCTTTTGAAAATATGTGGTGTCTTGATAAACTGAGCAGATATTTGAGGTTTACACAGCTACATTCTCGCCTGAAAATATGTTAAACGTTTATTTACTGACCCAGAAAGAATAATAAGTAATATTAAAACTAACTAGCTGCCGCCATTGTCGGAAACTGAGCAGGGCTGCGCTATGAATTCTGGGACACAGCTTCTTCTTCTTCTTCTTCGGGGTTTAACGGCAGCTGGCATTCTTGTACATGCAGTGCTGCCATCTTCTGTTTCAGTCCGTTGTTACATTCTTAAATCCTACTACTCATTCCTGCGTCTTTTGGGATCTTACAAAGCTTCAAACGACGCGTCGACTATTAAATTAGTCGTCGATGATTTTGATAGTCAACGTAATCGTGACTAGTCGACTAATCGTGGCAGCCCTAGTCCAGGATGATTTTTAAGAATAAGAATAAGAACAACTTTATTTATCCCGAGGGAAATTATTTTGTCATGTACATGCTCAAAGCAGCAGGAGAGACAGGAACAGATGAATAAGATATATGATATACAATATATACAATAACAATAGTAGTGTACAGTAATATACAGTAGGAATAGTAGGAGTATTTTGGACCTTAGTACAACTGGTCCGTAGATGGTTAAGACAAAGAGTCAGTGTAGCCTTACTTTAAAGAAATCTCCACATTTTCCTGTTACTTTGAGCAAGCTGGGCACAGCTTGGGCACAGTCCAAGGACAACCCCTTTCTGGTGGGCGGCGTAGTTTCTTTACCTTCAGGAAAAACCCCTGTTATGTTAAATAAACTGCATGACTGTTGCTTATACTAACAACGATCGTAAGCCTCTTTTTGCAGGCTTAGAGTATAATTGAGCTTTTGTAAAAGTGACTGTCTGGATGAAATCATCGTGAATAGTCCCCGCATGCCTGCAAAGTTCACCTCATTCTCCATCAACAGCTGGATTTGCAATAAATAATCTTGGCTTTCCTTTTCTTTCGGGATCATAATAGACTCATTGATTTTGAGCATTGCTTTATGTATGAAAGCCGTTCCATGTTGAACTCTTCAATAGTCACTGAGAACCATAACAGCACTGTGACATTATGCTTGAGCTTCCTCTCGCAAAGCAATTGACATGACATTATCCCGAGCCTCTGCTTATCCCCACCGTTTGTCCCTCTCTCTCTGCTTCCTTTGCCTTTTAAATATGCGAGGGAAAGAGGCCATCTATTTCCAGGCCATAATAATTTAGGAGGGAGGGAGGGGGTAATGTTTGCTGTGGCCTCAGGGGATGCAGATTTAGATGGCCAATAGACTTGGCACGTTCAAACTGGTGCAGCTGAACCCCACCACACCCACCCTCCTCTTCCTCCCTCTGCCTCTTGTCTGTCTCTCTGCCTCTGTGTCCTCTCTCTCTATTGAGTCAGTGGTTTGGGCTTGCCAGAGGCTAGTATAATGGTTCCCAGTGTCTGGAGAGATTAAAGGCCAGAGCTGCATTGTTCAAATGCCCCGAGATTAGTTTCCAAGGAGACGGGTTTCAGTTGCCATGAGAACATAGTGCCTGGCTTTAGCCGAGCAGCTTTTCTTTAACACTTCCTGTCTGTTTGCAGCTTTGCTTTTTTTGTTTACATGGCCCGTTTTTTCTATGCCTTCCTTACTTGATTTAGCTACTCATACGATACAATGCTGATGCAGTTATTTTGGAAACATAAGGACTCGTTTTAATAATCTGTAACCAGTACCTCTTTTTTTTTTAACACCCAAGATCTGTTAAGGAGAAAAGTTTAAGGTCCCAGTGACAGAGTGTATGGTTGTACGCAGCGTTGTGGTGTTTTCAATCAGGAATTAAACAGGAACTGGCCTGTGAGTTATGACACCCGAAATGTATCTGCTTTTTTCACATAATAGGTTTTCTACTTCTAATAATTTAATTACAGTGAACCGTGGCTCATATGAAAAACATTTTAAATAATACAAATATCCACAAATTACGTGTTTGATTTAACAGAGGATGAAAAAATGTCTTGACAGTGATGACTTCATTGTAATTTTCTTGCATTCAGCTGAGACGTATGCAGAATTAATTTCTTGCACTCATATCAACATGCAGCAGACTCTCATTGTAACGTCTTCTGGAGTTCATGAGGTTAAAAATTGAGGCTGTACTCACTATGCTGTATTAACGGAATGGATTGAATGGATTTGATTGATATCGGTGCCACTGTCAGTTCAGTTTGTGGGTTTGAGTCTTTCTCAGTTCACTTACTCTGGTCTCTTTTTTAAAAAGAGTAGTCCTAAACAGGTTTTTCAATGTCAGCACGACTGTTTTTTTTTAAGTCTCTGTGCCTAAACACAATGTACAAACAAAAGATTTGCAGGTGACTCAGGTGTGCCAAAGCTCCCATGCTGTGAATTTACGTCATTATCTTGTAGTGCACATGAAACCAGTATTGAAAAGGATTTAATAAGCTTGGAGGCACTCAGTTGGACAATTTGGAAAATCTGTAACCAGGATAATTCTCCTGGCACTCATGTTCCACAGAGGATGAATCCCGATCCCCCCCCTCTGAAGTTCATACTCCTTTAGTGAAGCTGAATTGTGCAAGTTGCATCTGGCAGATGGGAACGGTGGAGCAGCATGATGACTTTGGCATGGATCTACGATTGCTTCTTTGCTCTGTAGACCCCCCCCTGGGGCCCCTAAGAGAGGTGATATTAGAAAGAAAGTAGAGGGGTGGGTGGATGGGGCATGGAGAATGAGAACAAACAGGCGTGCATGGCAGGAATTCTTTTATAGGCATATAACAGGAAAAGAAGCGTCTAAGGTGTGGTCCTGCTTCTATACATCAGTTAAAGCGGTTTCCAGTAAGTTTCTCTTCTGCTTTTTGTTTTGTGATAATGTTAGCATGCTGGCACATTAAAGATGGTAAATATATCTGCTCAGCAATCACTTTAAAAGTCCCAGTCCAGCCTAATGAGGCCTGTAGACTCGTATTTGTGTGAAACAGGTGAAGGAAACCCTCCCTCCCTTCTGAATTAATTATTCACCTTTCAGAGCTCAGCGTTCTGAATATAAGCTTGTATTTGCTTAAAGTCAAACCACATGATGTCAGCAGAACCTGCTTTGAATGCAGGTCACTGCAGCATGTGTACAGGAATGCATCCTCAGACACATGCAGGGTTTGTCTGTGTCGCTCTGTGGCTGCCTGTCTAAACTGTGTTCATCCGGTCCCCGCAGAGGCATGGCTCAGATCAGGAAGCTGGCATGCGACGGCATCAGGACGAACTCCCGCGGCGAGCCACAGGTCCCGCTGGTGTCAGCCAGACAGGAGATCCTCACCAGCCTGGTGTCTGCCCTCGACTCAGTGGTACGTTCATAATCAAGGGTCATACAGCGTCATTTCCTGTTGGAGATTTTGACATGTGGGGCCAAAATGACATTTTTTTTCCTAAACATTTCATGAAATCCACCTTAAAAGTGTTACTATAGTTTTTACTTTTTCTGTTTATGTGAGCATGCATTGAATATAAGGGAGGAATAGTGTATTTTGCTTAATTCCAAGAAAATAAGGACGCAGTTCTTCTAGTAATATCAAGATTGTTAATAATTTTTGTTAACGTGTTTCAAGTAAAAGCCAGTAAATGATTCCTATAATAACTCAAATGGAGGAAGTCTTGCTCCATACTAAGAAATGCGAGCTTATGAGAAACAGCAAAGTCATTGTCTCTGCAAATTAAATAACTTCATTGGTCTAATTTAACTGTGTATATAGTTTGGGGGAGGGGGGTCACCAGGCGTGTTGTCCACTTACAGAAGTCCTGCGTTTATTCTTGGATTCATTTTGGCTAATAAATGAACCGCCATGCGTTGACTCTTACAGTTTTGATCAGAAGTAGTCATACACTTTTACACTCCAAATTCGACAACTTCATGGTCAACTGAAATTTGCAGCTGCAAACCTGGACAAGCCAAATCCCCTCTGGAGAAGTTTTATGGTTATACGAGACAATAATTTAGCCATTTGGTTGCAGTACAAGAGTTATAGTTGGAGGACCAAAGGTTAGGCTTTCAAACTTAAGGAAGGTCGGTGTCAAGTATGGAGGTGGTAGAATCATGCTCTGGGGCTGTTTTGCTGCCAGTGGTAGTGGATGGAATAATGAATAATGAATGAATGAGGCAGAGTGCTTCCAAATTCTATAACCTAACCTCAAATCAACAGCCAGATGGTTAAAACGTGGACACAACTGGGTGTTCCAACAGGACAATGATCCCAAACTCGCACTGAAGATGGCTTAATATTCGGCTTTTGAAATGGGCTTCCCAAAGGCCCGACCTCAAACTTATTTCAAATTAGAAGAGTATGCTTAAAAGCCATTCATGTGCCAGGAACCTGACCCGGTCAAATATCCAGCCAGAATTATGCCAGAAGCTTACTGACTGGAACCAAAAGCATCTGGTCAAAGTACAACTTGTAAGGACGTGTGTTTGTGTAATTTGAGCCTCTATGTGTCCTTTAGACCACATGTGGATAAGAGAAAATCTAAAAAAGGAAACAACTCAGAAACAACTCACAACTTGTTTTTGAATGTCATTAGAGATGCATGTTGTACAATTATTGTACTCTGAATAAAGAACAGTTCAAGGAAACCCTTAAAAGCCAAAAATTACAAAGATTCATGCCCAACATGGAAGTGTACGTGAAGTTCTTCACCACAACTGGAAGTCGTCACTGAAATTTTCATTTTGTTTGCTTAAGCCATCAGTTTACAAAGTGTTTCGGTCCTTTGTAAACCTAAAAGCTTCCTTGTTTTGCAGTGCATGGCGATGTCTAAACTAAACGCCGAGGTGGCGTGCGTCACCGTGCACGAGGACAGCGTGATCGCCGTCGGCACAGAAAAGGGGAGAGTGTTCCTCAACTCCAGGAGGGAAATCCAAACAGACTTCTACAAGTTTTGCCGTAAGCACCGCTCTGAACGTCGTTTCCCATAATTCATTCAGTCTTAGTAGAACATCGATCACTCTCATTACAGCCGCAGCTGTGAGGCCGTTACTTAAAATACGCTTGTGTCACTTGTGTCCCCGAAGAAATCTTCGTTTTGTGCTTGCACAGATGCAGATTATCTGAGCTTTAATAATCACGGCAGCTTACCTCAACATCAAATGATGTCGCCATGAAATAAATCACCAAAGCAGATGCAGAGCAACATTTCCCCCCCTTTTTATCCCAAATAACAATACATCAGCAAAGTGTCTCATCATATCTTATTTAGCAAAGCCATTTGATGAATTATGTTTACAAATTTACTGACAGTACTTTATAGCACTCCTTTTAAAAACCCACCGTGCATTTGTAGGAGGAGATAAATTAATATTCCATTTTTCTATTAGAACTGAGCAAAGTAATGGAGCGGACAAACACTTTCATAACAGTTCTGACTCACACCACAGGTTGTTTACAACAGCAATTTGGCCAGTAAACGATACTTTGTTTGTTTTGTTTTTTTGCTATAATTTATCACTTCCTTTTGTGCCGATACTACAAATAATGTTTTTTAAAAATCCAACTTTTCACTTAGCCAGCACAAGATTCACGTGACTCAAGAGACCCTAACCCACAGACATATATTATTGTCATATTTTTTGGCTGGAAGACCAATATTATCTTGTTTTTTTGTTCTATTTGGTTTTTGTGTATATTTATTGTTGATTTTGTGTCTCTTCGTGTCTCTTACTCCTTCCTTTTACTCTCATTTCCATTAGCTATGCTAGCATCCAAGGTTGTAAGTTGAATATATTTTAGAAGTTGGCATTGGTCCATTTAGCCCCCTTTGTTCACCTTACTTGAGAGGTAAGGTGAAGCAACAGATAATACACTCAGTTCGCAGTATATCCTCCCCCGTAACCATGGACAGTTTAAAAGATGGACGTAGAGTCCGGGTCTGAAAAGTCAAGCAGTGGACAGCTGCCTTTGGCTGAGCCACGTTCTGTGGAAGGTTTCTTCCTATTGAAAAGCAGTTTTTCCTTCTCACTGTCGCCCACTGCTCATATTGTATGATTGTTGGGGGTTTCTCTTTATTAATGTAGGGTCTTTACCTGACAACATAAAGCACCTCGAGGTGATTTGTGTTGTGATTTGGCACATACTGAATATTAAACTGAATATTTGAATGCTTTCATGGTCAGATCTATCCCTGTCTTGTCAAGATGGCGACTGCTAAAAACGCTACAGGCTTCGCAACAGGACATCAGAGCCCACTGGGTGATGTCACGCTAGCCCCGTCCTTCTTTTATACTGTCTATGCCCGTAACACCAGTTCATCAAGTTTAATTTTCATCAGGCATCTGTTACTGAGAACATTGGCTCAACTTTGCTTTGATTTATTTAAGACTCAAACTGAACGGCTTAATGTTCCCCGCTTTATTGGAGATTATTTTCATTCATCTAGGCACATTGTTGGAAAAACAAGTCATTCGTTTTATATGACACTATTTTTCAAAAGGTGACATAGTCATTAGTTTTAGGAACCAGACTCTCAGTCATTTGTTTTTTGTTTTGTTTTGTTTTTAACCTTCAAAGACAAATGAATGACTTTGTTGGGGTAAAGAGTTTACTTAATCCTAAATCATACTGTAGCTCATTTGGACATTTTTAAAGTCATTTCTCTTTTATTTGGGGTCAGGGGTGCCATGCCTGCAAAATCTGACTGCAGCAAATTCCCATACCAAAGACCAGGAGAGCGATCTCAGCAAACTGAGTAAGGATGCTGAACATGGGAAACCGAGAGCTCCATCAGATGCCCAGTCCAACATCTTTGTTCTGAGGAAGATGGTGGAGGAGGTCTTCACTGTGCTCTACAGTGAGTAGTCCATTTTTTAAACCAGATTTTTTCATAAAGCAGTGCCGAAGCAATCCATGTTTGGAGCATAGGGAGCCACTTTTATATAGTTTCTTGGAAGTCAGGTAGCAAAACTCAGTGCGTCATGCGGTATGCAGGTGAGGCTATGGGAAAGAGCAGCCTGGTCCCTGTGCCTTATGAGTGGATCCAGAAGGACCCCGGCTGCGTGGTGGCTCATGGTTTGCCTGAGGGAGTCGCCCTGAAGAAGCCCTCTGAGTATGACACCAAGACACTGATGAAGATCCTGGAGCAGAGCCATCGCATCCACTTCACCGTGAAAAGGTGAGTCTGCAAAGTGAGAGACTGTGAATGGTTGGATCGCATTCTGAAAGCAGTTGTTGCATTTCTGATAACTCCAACGTGAAGATGAACTTGTGTTAGTTGCCCTGATATGTTTTCTTGTGCAGTTTTTAATTGGAAGTGAACAGACTTTGGTGCATTCGTCGTAGATAGAGTTTTAAAAGATACATCCAGTATTTCCACGTAAATTGATTGTATTTGTGTACAAACTTAGTAAATGGAGGTGCACGCATGTTGGAGTTTATAAAGAAGAATAAATATGGAGCTATAATCAGCTGCCTCACCATAAGTCTCCATGTCCACCATGTTGGACTGTAGCGTGCAGTTGGTGCTCATTCTTCCAGCTCTACGTAGCGACATCAGCTTTGAATGATCCTCAAGCTGAGAGTGGCTCTACAGAGCAGAAGCACTATCATCACCAGCTCCACTCCAGTTGGTGTGGATGTCCGACCAAGGGACGAGAGACTGCTGAATATCATAAACAAGAACAGCAGCTTGACTGGCCTTCCTATAGCAATCAAACAGAATAAAAAATTAAATGGCTACAAAAAAGAAACATTTAAGGCGTGTTTTAGTAGTCTACCTTTAATCTACTTGGTCAGCTGCTTCTAAAAAATGATATTTTAATGTGTTTCATTGCTTTTCATGGGAGACAAAATGTTGCACATAGCACAAATACGGCTCTAATTGTCGCTATGCTTGTGTAGGTGGATAAAGTCCAGCTGAAATATGTTCTAAATAAAGTTAAATGTACACAGATTTTTGTCATTTGGAGAGATGCATGTAAACTACAACATGTGCTTATCCAAAAACAGCTATGCTGTTTTGTCCTTAGCCTAAGATGTGGTGCAGATGTTCTGCTTTTGGTTTCAGCCACATAAATAATTAACGATAGCAGGCACATAATTGTTAGCAGTGTCTGAAATATATTAGAGACGCGCCTTTCAAGTAGACAGAATATTGAATTTGGTGGTGGTGGCTGTTCGGCCAGTCTTTAAAGACTGCTCTCAACCCAAAACTGCTCTCAAATGACTGTGCACAGACTTGTGAGCTTTACAAGTGCAGTTTGTACATATTATTTAGAGGAGATCCACACAGTCCTGACCGCTGCAGTCGTCTTTAGCTTTGCATGTTTCTCCTGTTTTTCTCATGTTTTGCCAGCTAATACTTTGTAGTGCATACTTCTGTTTTTGCTGTTTTGTCGTGGTCCACTAACAGCAGTAGTAGCGTGTTACATCCTACCAGACATCTAGTTGCATAAACTGTTCATGTTTCACTAAAACAGCTGTCAGCGCTTGCTCCCCAGTGAACAGCTTATATTGCAAATGCTGTATAGTGGGTGTGTAAACAAGTGGACTGTTTGAACACAGGCCCTGTAACTCCACAGAGGCTTAATCTGATGCCGTTTTTCCCTGAATTCACTGCTTAGCACATATTTATGTGGCATGAAAGCAATGATTTGTGCCCCTGCCCTGTTAGTGGGCGTGTTGAACTGTGTAGCCAGCTCTACAGTAATCTCCGCTGAGCTGGATACCTGTCCCCATGACAACAGTTGCTCTGTAGCACTCTGTAACAGGGTAGTATGAACTCTGAATATCAGCTAAAGTACTTGGCAAGAGTTCAGACTGAGAACAGTGCTGTATTACAATAATGAAAGTGGCTGTGTTATTAATCAAACACTGTATAATCCAAGAAATCCACTTTGAGTAATAGATCCATTAATTTAAAGGCTTAACAGACACCAAAACTCTGCACAGCATTTATTGCGCCACGAGAAAGGATTTTTTAAAAACTTGGAAAGTCAAAACGGCAGAAATGATTTCACTCGTGGTTTGTGAGTGTTTGTGGAAGAAGAAGCACTGGTGCTGGAGCAGGCCAGGATCAGCAGTCACAAGACTGAGGACCACATTCTTTTTTAGCTCAGTCTCATTTATTCATTAAGACTTTATTTGATCAAGCAGCTGCAAAAAATGATTTTATTAGGACGTATTAAAATTTGCAACATGACAGTTGTTTCAGACTCTGTTCTGTGTGTGATAAAGCTAACTGTCACATGTTTGCCCAAAACAAATTGGGGAATTTCCTCTCTCTACTGCTGTATAATGAAGCTGAATATGAACATGCAGCACTGTGAGACTGTGCAGAATTTAATTGGAGTTTTGGGCCTGTTTGAAAAGCAAAGGGCTGGAGGCAGCAAGTAAAGAGACCAAATGATGTTATTAAATGCCTATTATTTAATTCTTTTTGGTATCAAGGATGTTCTAACCAATCAGGCAGCAAATCATAACATAATAGTCTCATGTTTGTAGCCCTACAAGTTATTTCCCTTTTTGATTTTGTTGTTGTCTTTGTGAACAGGCAACCGGACGATTTGTCTCGAGAAACCAAGTCTAGCACTGATGTCAATCACAACGCTTCCACTGCGGTCATGACGCAAAGCAGCCACGGCCCAGCGAAGACGACCGCGCAAGCAGTCACGTCGTCAAGTCCCGCCACTTCCAGCAACTCTGTTCTGTCAAACTTCCTGTACGGCATGCCCATGTCCTCCAAACCCCACCCAGACGGCAAGCTGGATTTCAAACCCATGTCTCTCCTCAACCTGGGCAAGGACAGGCTGGCCAACTGGACACCTGGGTCAGAGAAGAGCACATCTGTGAAAGACAGTGCTAACACTGGTAAGCTAACATACAACATGTGTAAAGGTGGATTTCAGCAATGGAATAGGGGCGAGGTGAGTTGTTATGTCAGAGTCTCGGGGTTAATAGTATATCCAGCTAGGGGGGACGTGTTGCTGGCCGTGCCTGCTAGTTGGAAGCAGCAACTGGAGACATTGCTTGGCTTCCAACCTACTGAACACAGCTGTTTTCTGATCTTTGCATCACTAAAGAAAGCACCTATAGGTCTTTGTTTTCTTTTATGGACATTACCTCAAACAGTGCAGATGAGGAGGGCACAGAGTAAGAAAGGAAGAGACTGTGGTTCATTTACAAAAATAAAAGATGCCACATGCAGAATAAACACTTTTCTTGCTTCTGAAATGGTGATTTATAGCCGTGTTTTTAACAGATGTTTTGTGAAAGATGTCTGTGAAGCTGATTATTCATAGTTTAACAGTTAACTGTCCCCACCGACTTCTCTACATTCGGACCTTCGGCTGGTGCTGGCACTCCTAACTAGGAGTGTAACAGTCCTCCTAAACCATTCAAAGAAAATCATTTTGCTGCAGCTCTGATCACTTGATCATAATTAGATCATAAACAAAAATCAGCTGCAGTATTGTGATGCATGTCCAGTTCACTTGTTACCTGATGAGCCACAGTCAACAAGCTGATCTGACACATGTGTGCCACACATTTAAGAATGGGATGAAGGGCTTCAAATTGCTCTTTATTACACATGCAGTGTTTGTAGGGAAATGTTTAACCACATTCATTAGATTGGGCCCAACTGTTTCATGCCTTTGTGTTTTCCCCCTTCCTTCTGAATGACCGTCACTAGTTACTATAAAACACCGAAAACTTGAATTCAAGAAGAGTAAGAGCTATTATATGAATGTAGTATAAAAGTAAGATCCACAGAGCATTCGTGATGATGATCCTAATGTTAACAATACACAGTAAAAGCTCTAGGTAAGTATTTTCTCCTGTGCCTCAGGTCTGAATAGAAGTGTTAGATCTGCAGTTAAAGACCATTGCCGTTTGGTATTTCACTCAAGCACTACTTTTCCTTGTTTTACTCGCATCTTAGAGGAATCATTTCATTCATAGCCCTCGGTATTCAGTATGTTCACTTAGGTTTGAAATGTCAGTAGTTTTCTCATAAATGTAGACAAATATTACAAAACACAGTCTAGGTTTTACTCTCAGTCATGTTAGTCATGTGTGCAGGCAACATGTACACCCAAAAATTAAGACAGGTTCAAATATTGGTGACCTTGACTTCAAGGTCAAGGTCAGGTTTTCTGAGACTAATTTGAGAAAGATCTCACCATAAGTGTATCTATTAGGAGGCTGAGGGGTATCACTGGTTATGTGCATCTTGGCAGTGAATATAAGCATGACAAGTTAACATTTCTGCCTGAAATGTGTTTATTTTTGCATTTTTAGATGAGACCACAAGGCTACCTGGTGAGCAGGGTCAGAGCCCTACTGGCATCCACATCTCAAAGAGGCTACTCTTTTCCATCGTGCATGAAAAATCAGGTACGTTTGAATTACCGAGACGATATAGGCATTTGGCTTCATTTTAAATGGCTGTGGTAATTGCTAGTGCTGATGGGTTTGAGATTTCCTCATTGATGCTATTTTGTACTTGACAGCTAAACAGAAGGATTTAAAGCTCATGTGAAATATTTCAGCTATACACATGGTCACAATATTACCCTTATATTTCCTCTCATTAAGGCTTCAAATTTGGATAAAAGGCTGTCACTGCGCTTCCCTCATATTATATCACAACTAGCTCTTAGCATCAAAGCTCCTTTTTTTGTGGCTGCAGCGTAATAGCAGTAATGGGTTTTACAGATTCATCGGATGAGTTGATTAAAGAGCTTTTTCTTCCATTTTCCAGTTTCCTAACTTATTCTCAGCGATTATATAAATACATATAGACATGAGAACTGTACATTGTCCAGCACTGAACTGAAGATGTGTTTGAGGTCGTTAGGAAACCATGACGACGCCGTAGTTTATCAAACGGTGATCACAGATGTGTCATTTTCAGGCTTAAAGCTCAACTCAGATTTTATTTTATTAATAACGAGGTTCAAAGTCCTCTTAAAATTATTCCTGTTACACTATATGTCATGACAGGTTTGGATTTTACTTAAATCTACAACCATAGAGGAGACTTTGCATGCTGTTATTATTGTTCCTGCCGGGATTTGGAGGCTGATATGTACAGTAGCCAAGCACTGTTTACTGAACTGAGGCTGACCTGTGCGAAAACTTAAACAAGAAGGGCTAAGCTATTGAGAATAATCCTTTAAGAAGATTGCACTGATTTACCAAGTTGTTGCTGAGTAAATGGAAAAGATTAATTTCAGATCCTTAGCACTACAGTCAGATAAAACACTTTGAGAGGCTAAAGCTGCAGTAAACTTTGATGTAAGGACCGCATTTCCTTCTCTCTGTTTTCGTACAGAAAAATGGGACGCGTTCATTCGGGAAACAGAAGACATCAACACGTTGAGAGAGTGTGTTCAGATCTTGTTCAACAGCAGATACGGTGAGGAAGTCCTCTTACTATTCAATTCAATTCAATTCAATTTTATTTATATAGCGCCAAATCACAACAAAAGTCGCCTCAAGGCGCTTCATAGATACAGAGAAAAACCCAGCAATCATATGACCCCCTATGAGCAAGCACTTTGGCGACAGTGGGAAGGAAAAACTCCCTTTTAACAGGAAGAAACCTCCGACAGAACCAGGCTCAGGGAGGGGCGGGGCCATCTGCTGCGACCGGTTGGGGTGAGAGAAGGAAGACAGGATAAAGACATGCTGTCTACACAAATGGCTAAAAAAACAGCTCAACGTGAAGACGTGTGCAGCGATCATGCATTAAAAGCATGTAAGGATGCTCGCAAGAAAACCAGCTGCAGGATCCTCGTGCTGTCTTTAATAGAGAAAAGCTACCAAATGCAAAAGTTCACCATTTGGAATCAAGTCAAGAACTTTTTATCTGCGTGACTTGAGATGATGGATCAGCGTTGCCTGCCCTAGACACACACACACACACACACACAGATTTATTTGACAGAGAGCAGAGATACGAAGATGAACTTGTGTGTATTTGCGTGGTTCATCAAGGCAGTTTAAGAATTAGTCATGTCACCTCCAGTCTAATGATCCGTGTTTCTGGATGCAAATTTCCCACCCTTATGGGATTTTTCATCAGTTTGCTCTCAAATGTACGGATTTGTGTCCATGTACACAAAAGGGTTGATTGATACTTTTTCTCTGCAGTTTTTTAATTTATCAGTGAGAGGATAATTATCATTGTCTCAATACAAGGAATGATAATTATAGTTTAAATATAAGGACTCACAAATATCAGCAGATTCCTGGAAATTGCTGAAATTATTGGAATGGACGTGTGAGAATATACAAAGACGTGGAAACACTGTAGGGAAAAAATGACCACAACAAAGAGAGGGAACCCAGGAGAAGCACGTCCTGAAGTTTTGTTTATTTCTTTTGTGGCTGGGTAACGTCGGCCACGTATGTATGTTACGTCGTAAACTCTACAAAGATTCACCGCAGAAGTCTGAATCAACCGTGATGCTCCTGATGGTTCGGATATCAGATATTATGATGTATATTATAATCATAATTATATTACCTAGGGACTATGTAGCAACAATGTAGCTAACACGACGTCTTTTTAATATTTATGCAATTAAAAAAAGCACATTTTTTACATTTCACAAGAATAACGTTTAGTTTATATCCACAAATCTTCTCTTATGCATGAAATATTATGACGCCACCAGGTTGCTTAGCAACCACCTAGATAGATATGGGCTAAAATCATTGTTTTTTCCACCTACAAGACCTAAAAAAAAGCATCACAACATCCCAATTATATCCACAAAAGCTGAATTTTACACCACATATTATAATTATATTATAGCGCTCATATTGCCTAGCAACCACCTAACAACAGGCTAAAGTAAGTGCCATTTTAACGAACAGGCCAAGAAATGCAAGCACTGGCAGGGACTAGTTGTTGCTTTGGTCATCTAGTCGTCTGCATACATGAATTAATGCTATTTAACTAATAGTGATGGCATTGGTTTAATGCATTAATGAGCTATAAAAAAATCCCCCTGATTGACGAGCTATTTGCGATCACTCTGATCATCAGCTGTGCCCGAGGTCCATCACCATAACCCCACTGGAGGCTGCTAGTGCTAATGAGTTAACTATATTTTGTAGATTTAAAATTTAAGAATTTTCTCTGTTTTCTACCTCCAGCTGAGGCATTGGGTCTAGATCACATGGTGCCTGTCCCCTACCGCAAAATAGCCTGCGATCCAGGGGCCGTGGAGATCATCGGCATCCCCGACCAGATCCCCTTCAAGAGACCGTGCACATACGGAGTCCCCAAGCTCAAACGCATCCTGGATGAGCGCCACGGAATCCGCTTTATAGTCAAACGGTAACAAATGCTTTAAGACAAGAACTGGTGAAAGTGCATGACATCATTTCTTGTACTCTCACTGTCAGAGTGTTGTAGTTAGAACAAAGAAGCACCTGGATGCATATTTTTTACAAACGTCTAATTTACTCACTGACCAGAGATCCATCCAGATTTACCCACTTGATGCTTAATTATCACCAAACTGCAGAATGGCGTCCCTACAGAAACTTTAATTTGGGAAAGATTTTTTTAAGAAGCAGCTACCAGCCACGCCAGCCTATACCATCTGTTTGTTAAATGTCTGTTTCCTTCAGCACACTACGTCCCGCTGAGTGGTAAACCATTTCCATTCACGTCCCAAATGACTTTCCCTTGCCAGCGCATTGCGCTAATGGCTGCTCTTCCATCCATTTGTTTGAGCTAATTTAAATGAGCCACCATGCCTTGTTTGAGATAACACATCTTTTAACGAATCCTGCAGGCAGCTCATTAGCCTTAATACAATTAGGAAAGATTGAAAATGTCATTAATTCAGATCAAATCACATTCCCATTGTCTGTGAGAGATGTTCCAGATGCAGGCAGCGATGTGCTTTTTTGGCATCTTCTCTGTTGTCAGTCTATGATCATTTTTATACAAACAGTAACTGTAACTGAAGTGTTGTGCTCATTTAGTTCTGCAGCCATGCTATTAATTATTCTCAGGTGATGTCCCGTGTAATAACCACCCGAGTTTCACTCGTCTCACGCTTCACTTTGTGAAAAGATGCTGAAAATATAAGAAATGTAAAATCCCGTCAGTTTTAGGTTAACAGGCTCACTAAACTGCTGACATTACTGAGAATAAGGTAGTCGTTATTAACTATTATTAAGTCTTTTTTTTAAATACAAATAGTAGTCATACACACTTTTATATGGTCTATATCAGCGGTCCCCAACCTTTTTTTGCACCACGGACCAGTTTAATGTCAGACAATATTTTCACAGACCGGCCTTTAAGGTGTCGCAGATAAATACAACAAAATAAAATGATACGACCAAGAGAAAAGCCGTGGTATTTTGTAAATATAATAATAAACAGAAAGTCACTGTGTAATTGTGCAACTTCGTTAGCAGTGTCCTCCTGAAGTGCGTCAACAACATTGAGAGTAACATCCTCCTCTCTGCTCCTTAATGCTCTCTGGTCGCTATGGTAACGCATAAATATTTCTTTCAAAGTAAGACACACAACTACAACACGGGAAAAGACCCTGAAAACCATCCATTTCACACCCGAGCCTCAACTCTCGCGGCCCGGTACCAAACAACTCACGGACCGCCCCGGGGGTTGGGGACCGCTGGTCTATATGGTCATCAAGGCAGCTCTGTGTTTTTCTTCAAAGTGGACAGCCAATCAGAAAAAAGTTGGCTTAAAAAAGGTTATTTACAGAATTAGAGGCAGTAGATGAGCCTTCTCTCATCTCATCAAGTGTCTTCCTCGTGTTGAAAATGAAAATCGTAACACTGTGGTGAAGACCAAACTGTCTTCACTGCTAATGGGTTGGACTGAAGACGCGCGTCGTCTCGTTAGTGCTCCTTTTTTATTGTAGCATCAACTTCAGAATTTAAACCTGCCTCACACTTTATTAAATAATGTCTATAAATTCCCTTCAGCCTCAGTTTAACATGAACACCCTTAGATAGATTCACATTCAAAAGAGCAGGCAACCATTCTGCCAGCCGTCAGACTTGATAATATTCACATAGACAAAAAGTGATCTGGGCTTCACTAAAACCACAAATTCTCTCACTAAAAATACTATAAAAAAGCTAAAAGTGCTATAATTAATAAATAGAGCTAAATTTAAAAAATGAATAAATAAATGATATGTATGTGCACAATTTGCTTTAGCTTATTCAGATTATTAATATCAGCTGGGACAAAGTTGTCTCTGTCCTGTGAGACCACTAGCGTCCATCCAGAGTAAAGCTCTGAATCCCCACATAAGGAGTGGGAGTCATTATTGAAATGGAGCCGGTCGTCCACCTGTCTGGTATACAGATACTTAAGGTTAAGCTGCGATTTACCGATCAGCTTCCCTGACCAGTTTCAGTTTGGATCAGTTTGTTCCGATCCTTCAAAGATGGGTTACCGTACTATGACGCAAAGGAATAGATCTGACTCAAGAAAAGATCTAAAAAATAAATGGATAGTGTCTCAATGGTCTTATCAGTGTAACAGGAGTACAGTTTCCATAAACAGAACAAATGTTGATGAGCCTTTTTTCTCTGCTTCACAGTTTATACCAAAATTCAGTCTTGAATCAATAATAGCCTCAAAATACAAAAGACTGCATATAGTCCACAGTTTGACCCTTATTGTTTGTGGCGTCAGGTGTGCTGGAATTTCTCCTCAAATCCACGATCACTTCTTCTGTTATGTTGAGCTGAAGGTGCTCAACACCAGGTCCATGGGCGGTTTCCTTGCCAACGATGTCACACAAATACAAATACCATGATATGATGAAAAATACTCATAAATGTCTTTCTGGTGTCTAAGCTGTAATATTTTGCCCTATTAAGACCTTAGAACAACAGTGTAGTTTCTTAAGTTTGTAAGTAAATAAGACCTAAGATTATGATCACGCAGGAGAAGAACGCTGGCAGGCAGAGAGTGGCAGTATGTGCCAGAAGGAAGGGGAAGCAATCCAGGAGTATATCACAGTTAATCCACAGTTAATTTTAGTCAGAGGAATTCGGGGCTCACAAAAGGAACGACTCAGTTATGTTTGATTATGTTTGACTGATTGTTTAAAGAGCAGCTAATGTGCTAAAGCAGCCGTTAACAATGTTCCATTTCTGCAGTTTTTTACAACTTGAGTTTTGTCCTGAGAGCTGAGGTGGTCTTTAAACAGAGTCGCTCACAGCCTGTGTTTCTTTCTGTCTTCCAGAATGTTTGATGAGAGGATCTTTACCGGTAAGAATGTGATTGATTCTGTTTCTTTCTTTCCCCTTTCTTAGAAGAACTGAAGTTGGGGTCATGTCTCTAAAAATACTTAAAACAACAAGAACCTAAACATCGAATGTGCTTGTACTTTACTAGTGTATTTACCTGCTGCATCTTACTTTAAATGTAGTGTAACCCTCATAAGAATAGGATCTACTCACTGCCTGTTATACTGGCCTTGCAGTGTGCACCGTCACATCTGCTGTCGCTGTAACCTGGTGCCACTGTGTGGAAGACATGAGTGTCACTTTTTACCACCGTTTTAATAATTTATCTGTACAGAAGCTCAGAGATTCACAGATTATACAGCGGGAGATGCTACAACAGCTTGAAAAGATGACGCTTTGTGGAAAAATCTCTGAAATTTCTTTGCCCCTGGGTTTGACTTGCGCTCCTCCTACACCAGCGCTGATGCCGAAGTTTTGTCTGAGTGGCGACACCTCATCATTCAGGAGAATACTGCAGTGGGTAGCTGTGCCGTAAAGGCCGGCAGAAATGGATGTGTGCATGATGATGTAATCGGTGGTGCATGAAGTGGCCAGTGAGGCGGGTGTAATGACCCCATCAGTTGTAGCCATAGATAGCTTCTGTGCTTAAAACCCACAATATTTTTAATGGCCAGCAGGGGGGGCAGTACCTGTCATTGCACAGAGCAAATGGCCCTCAAGTGACGATCCTGATGAGATTTTGGGTCGTACTGAATAAAACATTAAGTCCAAATTAGTAAATGTTGGCCTGTGTATCAGAAAGAGGGAGAATCCTGTATATGCTCACTAGCTATCACAAGCCAATGACCATCACATCACATTTCAAAATATCAAGATGGTGAAAAAAGCTAATCTCGAGTCCTCATAACAAGATGTTGCCGAATATCAAAATCCATTTTTAATACTGTCTGACGAATGCATTAAAACAGCAACCCCACTGTGTGAGCTCATAGGTATTATTTGGATTGGTCCACGACTGGGCTACTGTGATACCACATTATCACTTAGCAGTTAGCAGTGCATGCAGGTTCTGACAGTCTGCAACTGCTTAAAAACATAGATAATGAAAAAACACCCAATTATTTAACAGATTTTATTTTTTAAATATCACGGTTCCCTTTAGTACGCAGTTAGCTTGACTCTCATGCTTGCAGCTGATGACTTTTAAGCACCGATGACTAAAAGTGAGAGAAAATTTGGTTCGTTGCCTGAAAGCAGCCTGAATTTTCATTAAACATGAATATTCTCCATCTTCTCAAAGGAGAACTTTTGGCATAAAGTAATTGTTTTTGGTAGCTTTCCATATGTGCTTTGTGAGTGACCTTAGCTGTAAAATATTTGTCAAGACCCTTAAACTTTATCACAGTAACCAAAGAGCGCTCCGCCAAGAGTTTATTTATATATTTACACCACACAGATGTTCTTCGCTAATGGCGTGCGGTGTTTGTTTATCTTCTGCGTCTTGTTTGTTCAAGCTGCTGGCAAGATTGCAAGGGAGGAGGGCAAGCACGACCTGGGCTCTACGCCCGAAGACAGCTTCCCTGACAATCTGAGCATCCCACCCACCACAGCCGAGCTGGTCAGCAATCCTCACAGCAGCAGGTCAGAACGTGGCCCACACACACTCACACAAACATGGCATTACCCTGCAGACGTTGTTTATAGTGCTGGAATTTGAGCTTAATGGCATGCAGCCAAATTGTGCCTCTGCATTCAGTGGTATTACTCATAATAATTAAACCGCTGTTTACGGATTTTAGTTACATTTACATTACCATGATGGGACTTTGTTTCCTAAACGGGCCTTGTTACATGATTAATGTTCGGTTCACTTTGCTTTATTTTTATTTCTTTCTCTGCGTCCTGTCTGTCGAGTACATTAGCAGAACTGAACATTTCTACTTCAACTTGCTGCCTCTGACTCGGCTTCTTAGAACGACAGGAGGCCAAGCTGGAGGTTGCAGACTTGGAGATGCTAAGATTTTTATTGGGAGTCACCAGGATGGACAATAAGTACAGCAAAGGGACGGCTCAGGCTGAGCGGTTGGAGACAAAGGCTAGGACAGTTTGGACGTTGAGGATGAGTAGGGATAGTGGATATATTGGTCAAAGGATGCTGAGTATGGAGGTGCCAGGGCGGAGGAAAAGAGGACCACAGAGAAAATTCATGCCTGCAGTGAAAGAGGACGTGCAGAGGGTTGTTGGTTGACGCTGGGGGTGGAGGGTAGGATGGAAGCAGATGATCTGCAGCCGATCTGATATGGTGTCGGTGCTGTTCTTACATCATCAGAATAATGTATTCAGCCAAGAAGTTAGCTAATTCTTTTAAAAACTATCCCTCACAAGCCAACCCAGGTTACCTAAATTCAGCTAACAGCAAGGCTAACTTGATAATATATTTGTAATATTGTATATATTAACTAAGAAAAGAGTATTATGATGATGATGATGAAGGAACACTATATTTACCTTCTAATTGATATACTGGACAATCGAGCTGTTATTAAAAATAATGGTTATCCATTAGCCATTTTTACACATGAAATAATGAAGAAGTTTGAAAGAAGAAGTAAAAAAGAAAGAACCACGTAATATTTATTGTTCCATGAAGCAATCAATAATTAAAGCAAGTGATGATTTATGATTTATTCTCTCCCGCTGGTATAAACATGCTACGTGTTCCTTGTACTAATATGGTGCCTGTTCTCACACTCGCTTTATACCTGGTGCAAAGAAACAATTTGAGGCAAGCATCTAGGCCAAGGACACTTTGATGTGTGCTTTTGAGCAGCTGGGATTGAACCAGTGACCCCGGATGACAAGCTCTGACTCCTGAGTCTAAATCCCTTCATGCTAGAAGTGAGAAATGCTTCCCCGGTGTCTCCCTCTGTTCGTGCAGCTCAGCGGTTCTGTCTGTCGGTGCCACCGCACAATAGGCGATAAACACTATAGTGGGCGGAAGGCACTGCATGAATCAATGTTAACGTGTATGGAATCTCTGCCATTGGGGTTGTGACTGTGGTGCTAACAAGTGTGGAAACCCTGCATAGCCAGTGTTTAAAGATCCACGGTGTTGGGCTCAGAAGTCATTTAATTTCCCTTTAAAGGAGACAGATGATTTAAAATACGCCACAAAAAAGGATTTTTAATGATTGTGTTCTGCAGATATTTGCAAATCACCCTTTTTCTATTTGATTTTACCTCACAGATCAACCAGTGCTTGTGTGAGTCCCTTGGCTGAGTGCGAAGCAGGTACGTGCTAATAAATGAAGTTCAGCATAATAAAAACGCTCTGTGATATTCGGCTGTGTGAAGTTACAAATGATTTGAGCCCCGAGTATTGAACAAAGGTTTCCCCCGTCCCCCGGAGTCGCTTTCATATCGCGTTTTGCAGTCTGATCCCTTCCAACACGTTCTATCGTCTGCTTAAATCTGTTTTTACACGACCATAAAACACAGTGCTGACGGGAACTCGTGCAGAATGAACTGTTCAATCCCCGCAGGTCCTTCAGGAGATTGCATTCCTTTGAGGAGGATTAAAACAGAGCCTCCAGACGGGGAAATCATTCAAGTTACGGTGCCAGGTAAGCGAGCGCACGCTTGGCTGCCATTAAGTTTGAGATTCGTTTCTTTTTTTCACTTGTAGAAAAATACAATTGGAGCAGACGCGGGTTTTCTTGCATTGTCATTGAGATAGAAGTCACAGAGACACAGAAACCTGGAGACTGTTTTCATCGTTGGTGCTGTCCCTGTTTGTGATTCCCCTTCTTTCACTCCTTTGTTCGCCTGACAGTTTTGCATTTGCCAGTTTTGATTAGTCGGTTCCTGTGGGTGAGCGCTTTCTGTCAGTAGCCAAATCTGATACCCAAATTTGTTTGGATAAATTCAAATGCAGCCAAAGTGAGGAATCACAATTAGAAAAGGGGGATTCCCCGATTAGCCGGAGCCAACCTTGGATCATAAAAATGAAGAGAAAGCCTTGGCTGCTATTGCATTTACTCTTCTTATTCGATTTTAAAGTTTAAAAAAAAGAAAGAAAACAATTTTTGCTTGCGTCTCTCAGTGAAAGGCTCATTCATTGAGAGTCAAAGCTCTGCTGTTTTGAGCAAAATCAGACATTTAAAATAAAAACTTAAAAAGAATAAAGCTTCATTCATGTTTGTAGTTCCAGATTCATTATATATTCTTCATTTTTCTTTTTTCTTTAATTCCTCACAGTGTAGTGAGTTACACTTTTGCTTAGTAAGTGAAAGATCCCCAGTAATCCTCCTTTCTATCTCACCATGCGCACCAATGCCTCCCAATAATTGTTGTGTGGACAAATGAGACACATTTTAAGACGTAGTTTCATTATTGTGAAAAACGTTTTATAAAAATAAAGGATCAATATATTAAATCCAGCTTGTTTGCAATGTTTTAAAGGGGAACTTTGTTGGGTGTGTGAAGAGTTTGAAAGCACTAGCTGAGGTTCATGCTTCCATGGAAGCCTTCAAACATATTTTGGTTTTGCAAGATTAAAGACTTTGAGGGTGGAGGATAAGTGATTGGTTCTGTCAGTTCAACTTCCCCTGCCCAGTTAAAAAGCATGAAGTTCCTGCCCTAAATTCTCAACTGTTTAAATGAATGCACTGAAAAACAAGGCTGGGTGATTTCAAGCTAACATCAGTAACAGGAAGCGCTGAGATAACAGCAGAAATGCAGCAGCAGCGCAAGAAGTGTTGCAGCTCCACTGTGTCCTGCTGCTCTCTCGTCTCACACAAACTAAAAACCTGGTGTGAATACTGTTTGTTTCTCCAGATGCCGGCACGAGTGGGGAGGAGCCCAGCGAGTCTGTGGCCGAGCCCGTCGCCGCCGCACCGTGTCCAGCCACAGCCTCGCCCTCTGCTCCATCTGCCTCGTCTGCCCCGTCTGCCCCGTCTGCCCCGCCCCCCGCTCCTTCGGCTCCCCACCACTCAATGGAAAACCACGCAGGTAACCTCTTCCCCGTCAGCCCACACCTCCATTGTCGCCTCCCTCCTCACACTGTGGCTCCTGGAATGCCAGCTCCTACCAAGGCCTCCACATACAGTTTTGTAGGGAGCTAATTAAGCCACAGCACGTATGAAACCACTTTTCTCACGTTCTTTATCTTCCACTCTTCCACTTCCTTATGACCAAACCTCCCCAATCACTACTAGCCACTCCCACAACCTTAAATATACCTTCTCTCCCCAACTCTGACCTACTGTAGCTTGTTTCTTCCTCCAGCCTCACAACGACAATCTGTGAAATGCACCCTGCATCGACTGCAGCTTGTCACCATACTCTTTAGCTTTAAAATCTGGGCATGCGCATAACTGTCAGTGCGTTTTACATGCACCAACTGCTCGAGCGTGGTCGGACTCCAACCGAAGTGTGTGTTTTTTGTTTTGCCTTTTTAAATATTTGCAACTGATGATCACAACCAGCCACCATCAGTCAGGGGACAGTAAAAAAAACAGGAGGAAAAGTTTGTTGTGAAAGAGTAGACATCAGACCATCCTAAGGCCGTGTATGGCACATAACTCAGGACGCCTTACAGCACTGACTCATAATGCCACAGCTAGTTCATTTTCATAGACCTTTTTCTAGACTAAAGGTTCTCTTTTAATCATCTTGGTAGGCTGTGCTTGATTTCAATTTGTGTCACTGCAGCCAGAGCTGACGCTGAGTGGCGTAACAAGTAGCTGCTTTGTACCAAATATCCTCAAAAACAAACCGGGGCTTCTGTTTCACCTTAATTCAGAAGGTAGGCGGTTTTTGAAGTGCTCCCACTTCACCTACGAAGTACCAGCTGCACGGAAACATCGCCTCATAGGTGTGTGCTGTCTTACAACACTTCAGTCGGTTGTTAATTGTGTGCCCTTTGCCCTTAAGAGTCCAAACTGAAACGTTTCAGTGATTTGCAGGATGCATGGTGCATATTTGCAGATTTTGAGTAATTTTATCCACTAGTCCAGTTTTAGAGAGACCAAACTTTTCCTCAAAGGTCCTGTTGAGACTCCTAAATCCTCCTCCCCGTATAGAACTCGTTCTCTCCCTTAAACCTTAGGTTAATAGAGTAAGGTCACCAAGAACAACTGAGTAGACGCCACTCTCTTTATCAACTGCACCCGCCTCATTTACCAGGTGCTTCTATAATGTGCCGGGGTCATTCAGATTGCAGACAAATGCATGCAGATGTATGTCTGAGGTTTCTGACTGCCCCGCTGTGATGGAGGTGAAGGACATTTAATTGTACAGCTGGCAGCATTTAAAGATTAGACTGAGAAATAAAAAAAACGGCAGCATTTCTTTGCTTTCAACAGTTTTCTCTGTTTCTGGGCAATCCACTTCACTTTCACCAGTTTCCATTCAAGCTTTTCATTCAATCTCGTTAAAAGTGCAAGATTTCAAAATATGATTTCCAATCTCCTGTGATCAAATTCCATTCACACATTCTGTAGTAGGATGGAAGCAGAAATCTCTGCCTCTACATTTTCTTGAATGGACACTTTAAAGTTTAGGACTCTATTCTTTCTCTGGAAAATTCCTGCACTATCAATTACATTGTCCAAATGTCAAGTGCAACTTTCTTATATATATAAATTAACATATAAATGAGGCCCTTTTTTGAACATCTGAAGGAGGTGCTGCTACAATGCTACAGAGAGTCTGCTCAGAGTGATCTTGGCATTAAGCATTTTGCTTTCTTTTATTGATTTCATTGTGCTTTGTTTAAGTTTTCTTTTCTTTCACAAATGACCTCTAAAGGAAAGACAATGAAGGTAAGTGCACTCAGTCACATTTAATATTATTTGCACCTCAGTCATTTGTCAAAGTATTTGAATGATGGCAATTTGCATTAATTTTCAAGGTAAAATAGGTCTGATCAAGACAATAATCCCTTTTGCATGAATGACATATTCGTATTGCACATATGAGAATACCCAGTTCACTTTCCTGTAGATACAAATCACATCCTTTTTTAAAAAGTCCTGTTTGCCCTTAAGTATAGTGAAAGGTTTGACTTGATGATCTTCACAAAACTGCAGTTCCACTCTCAAGTATTCCTGTGTCATAATAATTGTCCATTGGCTTCTTCAGCACAGATGACATACAGTATCTTTCTTTTGACAGTGTTTTTTAAATTTTACATTATTGTTCCCACTTTTACCTCAACAGGCTGGATTTTGATGCATTTTGAATTTTTTATGTTGTGTTGGGCAAAGGGAGCTCTGTTGTGAGTCTGTTGTGGTTGCATCATATTCCTTTTACAGCTTACACAGATCCTCCGTCATGTTATGATGGATTAGCTACACAAGCTAGATGTAGCTTTCAAATAGTATTGCTTTAAGTTGTCTTAGAACACGCTCAAAGTAATGAGAGAAACATGGCTGTTACCAAGTGATGGAAACTGTAGTGTTCAGTTTTTGCAATGTATTACAACAACCAAAAATATGGCTTAAAACGGTTCAACGTTCCAGTAGTACGCGAGCATGTAATAATCACATGGATATTCAGCAGATTTAGCAGAAAGACTCATAAACCTACATTAAACAGACATCCTGGTGGCTACTCTGCAGCCATCTTTATGATGCCACGTTGTTTGGAATACTCAATCGTACATGGCTGGAGAGAAATTCATTTCAATTCAGTTTTATTTATATAGCACCAAATCACGGCAAGTTGCCTCAATGCACTTTTATATTGTAAGGTAGACATCCTCCAATAATACAGAGAAAACCCCAAATGTCTGACAACCCTCTATGACCAAGCACTTTGGCGACAGTGGGAAGGAAAAACTCCCTTTTAACAGGAAGAAACCTCCCGCAGAACCAGGCTCAGGGAGGGGCGGGGCCAACTGCTGCGACAAGTTCGGGAGAGAGAAGGAAGACGGGATAAAAGACATGCTGTGGAAGAGAGACAGAGATTAATAACCAGTATGATTCAATGCAGAGAGGTCTGTTAACACAGAGTGAGTGAGAAGGGTGACAAGAACTGAATGTGTGTGTCTTGGGAGTTTAAGTAGACACCCATGGCAACAAATCCACACAAAAGTGCCTACAGTTATCCAGGATCCTTTTTCTGTGAGGCAACAGTGCTGACCTCTGCGCTCCACCGTAATTGACTTGCTGAACGCTGGAAACATTCATCACCTTGGGCCACGTTGCCGGCAATAACTCAACCTCGTTCCCAGCTGGTGTTGGACTCGCCCAGGGCTGCCCTTTGTCTCCATTTCTAGGCGGAGCAAAGTGGCAGAAAGCTTCCACTTTGGTGGCCTCAGGATCTTTTTTCTGCTCTTTGCAGATGATGTGGTTGTGTTGCCTTGTTCGGGTTGTGGCCTCCAGTTCACACTGAAGTAGTTCGCAGCCGAATATGAAGCTGTGGAAATTAGACCACCCCGGGGAGGAGTGCTGGATCAGGGACTGCCCCAAGTGGAGGAGTTTAAGTATCTCAGGGCCTTGTCCACGAGTGAGGGAAGCAGGAGATTGACAGGCAGATTGAGGCCACGGCTGCTGTGTTGCGGATGCTGCAACGATCCATGGTGAAGAGAGCTGTGCGTAACAGTGAAGCTGTTGATTTGCCGATCTATCTACATCCCTACCCTCACCTATGGTCACGAGCTTTGGGTAGTGACTGAAAGAATGAGATCGTGGACATGAGCAGTGAAAATGAGCTTTCTCTGAAGGGTTGCTGCCCTCTTACTTAGTTAATCAAGAAAGTTGAGCCGCTATTCCTGCACATCGAAAGGAGCCATCAAGCATCTAACAAGGATGCCTTGGACGCTTCCTGGGCGAGGTGTCCCACCACATGTCCCACTGGGAGGGGGCCACTGGGTGGACCCAGGGCATGTTGGAAAGAGTATATCTTTCCATCTGATAAGCTGGAGGTGGAGCACGGAGCTGTGGGCTTCTCTGTTTAGGCTGTCTCCCCCCTCGACCCAACCCCGGATGAACGGAAACAAATGGATAGATGGGAAAAAAACATTTTATAAACCACTTTCTTCCTCCTGTTGTTGATCACAGATTTAAAAGTCCTGCCCTGCAGACTCCACACGTAACACATCACGAAAAAAAAAATCACATTTCCACCTCTGCTTCTGGGCTAATGGCAAAACAACACCCCCACCACCCATTCTCGTGTTTGTATGTTTAACACTGAGCGGCGATGTTGAATAACGGCCTTGGACAGGCGGTATGATATGTGTTCTTGGCGGCAGTTTGCCTGGAATCATTAATTAAAGAACATTCAGCGTTGCCCTACTGTAACAGTAATATTCCACTGACAGAAAATGGACAATAACATTGAATTATCACAGTCTCATATGTTGCACCTGTTGTTTTGTCCATCCCCTGTGTGTGCTGAGGGTAGACATGAGGTGTCAGATAAAGAGTTTAGCCTTCACAGATGTAATCATTGCTGCACAATGATGTTAGGCATGCCTCAAGTCAGAATAGGACCAGCGCTAGTCTCTGATGCAGTAAAGCAACAATGTGACGACTCAAGAGATTGATTGACACAAATAAAACCGTGCATCTTTGGATAAACTGTCATAGAAATGTTTTACAGTAGCCGTGCGCCACTGTTCTCATGCTTTTCTCGCATCTTGCAGCTGAAGCTCTGTCACCCACCGCTGCCCCGCAGAGCATAAGAAGATCTTCTGAAGGTAGGGTGGACTGACTCATTCAGGATGTTTTTCTGCACAGTGCATTTGGCCCACACTCTCACTGTGTGATTGTCTGTAACCTTGCCAAAGAGGCAGATTAGAATTAAATAACACTCTAACCCAGCGTCCTCACCTTTGGAAATATTTCTGTTTTGCTGTTTAGTCTCATTTTTGCACCTTCGCCACTCTGCCTCCCTACATCCATCTGCGGTTAATGTATCACACTCTACATTGACCCGGTAATGACACAGTCAGTTTGTCATTACCGGGTCAGCGCAGGGCAGGTAGAATTTATCAAATTGAAGTTGGCAAGTGGAGATGTAGTAATGTTCACAGGTGGGAAGCTGCCTAACCCCATCGACCCCAAGTAATAATTCTTTTTCGGCGCTCTCGGCGCAAAGCTGTTCGTTTTTCATTTGCTTGACTCTTTCAGCAGGGAGCCTGGTGGAGGACATCGGTGAAATGATTCTTCAGCTGCGGAGACAAGTGGAGAGCATCTTCAGCATTAAGTATGGTAAGCTACCTGTAGCGGGGGAGCTTTTATCCTCATCCGCAGCGGGGGCAGGAAGTTATGCCAGGGCTATAAATTTTGCAGGAAGACTTTGATCTCTCCTTAACCAGTGTACAGCAATTTAAACTCTAAGCTTTTAAAATCTATCTGAATATTAATATTGGAACATTTAAGGTTTTCAATAATTCAGCACATGAGAATGAATCTGTTAAGTGTGGGGCAAAGGATGGGGCATGAAAAGGAAGAATCTCATTTTTACATCAGAGGAGTTAAAGCATAAAAACACAAAGCATTAGTCGCCTTTTAGAAGGCGGCATGTCACAGCACGCCAGCGACTCTCTGAACATAGACATGCGTGCGCTAAGAGTGAGTGTAGGTAATTTTAACACAGTTATTAACAAGTTCTTCTTATTTCCTTTAAATACAAAGAAAAGTTTCAGTTCTTAGTTTCAAGGGTTTTAGTTCAGCCGGCTGAGGGACTGATGAGCTCATGACAGATGAGGCGAGACATGTGCCTGTCCATCCACACATTACAATAACCTGTGAGCTGGATGAGCTTTCTACGTCACGTTAGGTTAATGTGTCTGGAAAAGCAACGTGAGCATGAGACTGAAAACGAGCTAAAAATCGGGTTGTTTTTGTTATTTTTTGATTTTAGTTTTTAAAGCTATCGTTTTATAATAGATTTCCTTGAGTTTAGAAATATGGATGGTGCTATCGCAACATTTGTCTCATGGTGGGTGTAGCCATGTGACCGTGTAGCTTTTTAGTTTGCCGGTGTGACAAACGAGGGTCGGATTTGACCGAGTGACAGGGGGACGGTGCAGATGCCCCCCGAAGCTTATCCTGCTTTGCCCGTGTTGACTTTAAATTACGGGGGCCATCATTTACAAAATAAATGTCACTGCCTTGGCTTTTTGTGTTGTCTCTTTTGGACTTTGATCAAAAGCTTTCAAATAAAACTTGCTTTCTATTTTGTTTTTTTACTTTTTAACCCCTATTGTAGCAATCATGTTGTATTCAGTAAGGCCTCGAACTACAGAACAAAACCATAAACTTTCATCTTTCCATCTGTCATATGTTTGTGTTACTCTAAGAACAGAGTAACAGGAGTATTTCACTCACTCAAAAATGCACAAACATTTGGACTCTTTGTTAGTGTAATTAATCTGCACAGCTTGCTATAATATTTGTGAGATAACCGCATTAAACTCTACAAATGCAAGAGGTCCAGTTCAGCGACTCCTCACAGCTATAGCCGCCTGTATCACCCACTTGAGCCTCAGTAAGGATACTTGTGTAAAAGGTGACCCTCTCTCTGTAGCTGTTAGAAGGCGTAACCTAACCACAGAGATCAAAACTGTCGAGCCAGGCTGAGATGGCCATTTGAGATGCAACTCGACACTTTCATGTCAGCTACTTTATTGCTGCTTGGTTAAAAGCAGCAATAAAGGATTGCTGCGATCGTAGCTCAAGAGTTGGCAGTTCGCCTTGTAATCGGAGGGTTGCCGGTTCGAGCCCCGGCTTGGACAGTCTCGGCCGTTGTGTCCTTGGGCAAGACACTTCACCCGTTGCCTACTGGTGGTGGTCAGAGGGCCGGTGGCGCCAGTGTTCGGCAGCCTCGCCTCTGTCAGTGCGCCCTCAGGGTGGCTGTGGCTACAATGTAGCTGCCATCACCAGTGTGTGAATGGGTGGATGACTGGATGTGTAAAGCTCTTTGGGGTCCTTAGGGACTAGTAAAGTGCTATACAAATACAGGCCATTTACCATTTTAAAACTGTCACACAAATTTGGCGAACTTTCCCTGTTTGGTGTTTTTGCAATTTTCCCCAGATTTCAGAAGACGGAAAGAAATGAGATGAATTGGAATAAGACGACTTGAATGAAATAGATCAATAAGCTTTGTGCTTGTTTTTCCTGTTTTTCCTTCTTCAGCTGAAGCCCTGGGCCTTCCTGAACCAACCAAGGTGCCGTACTCCAAATTCCAGATGTACCCTGAGGATCTGTATGTAACCGGGCTGCCAGAGGGAATCTCTCTCCGAAGACCCAACTGTTTCGGAGCAGCCAAACTACGCAAGATCCTGGCTGCCAGCAGTCAGATCCAGTTTGTTATCAAAAGGTGAGAAATAATTATATATAGAAAGTCATCTGAAGAGTGTAGCGGTGCGTTGAAGTGTGTGTTATTTCAGTTTTCGCTCTCTGATTTGTAAATATCGTCACAATCTTTTGCTCATCTCTAGACCCGAGCTCTTAGCTGAGCAGGTAAAACAAGAGATGCCTTCCATCCCGATCTGTGATTCAGGTTTGTCTCTTTTTATACTTACTTTCTCATCAGCAGCATCTTCAACCCAAACTAATCACACACATATGCAGTGTTAAATTTTGATATGTTTGTTTTGTCCTCTGCAATACACGGTTGAAGTTTTAAGGTCAAATCCAGTTCACAGGCTATTTTTAAAACGGCTCCTTTGAAGAACAACAGAAAGTCCTTGCAGGGATTTTTCTGCAGCTGCCACCTCTTTATTTGTGACAAAGCTCCTAACATTTGCTTTATTCAGTAAGTCTTAAGACGACAAAAGTTTAACCTTTAAATGTTTTTCTCCAAAGAGCTGGATGCCAAGGATGCAGCACCAGTAACGGAGGACACTGCGGCTGTATCCAAGAGACCTGGATTCTCAGGTACGGTCGAGCTGCATCGGTCATCTTAGAACTGTTTAAACACGAATCGCCTCTGCTCGCTGACGTTGAAAGCCAGATGACATATATTTTAAAGCGTCTTCGTCCTCTCGTCAACAGAGTGCTTGGAGTCCAAGCTGTCCAGAATCGACCTGGCCAACACGCTGCGAGAGCAGGTCCAAGATCTCTTCAACAGGAAGTATGGGGAGGCATTGGGCATCAAGTACCCCGTCCAAGTGCCTTACAAAAGGATCAAGAACAACCCGGACTCGGTCATCATCGAGGGCCTTCCCCCCGGCATCCCCTTCAGGAAGCCCTGCACCTTCGGCTCCCAGAACCTGGAGAGGATCCTGGCTGTCGCTGACAAAATCAGCTTCACCATCACCAGGTGAGAAATGCTGATCACTCTAAGAGCTGTTTAATATTCTGACTGGTAACGATGCACTTTCCCAGTATATTCATCTGTGGTGCTAAACCAAAATAACAAGCTACAAAATGCACAAATTCAAATGTTTTCATCAAATAAGATCCATATCTGTCTATCGGTCTTCCTTCCTGCAGTTAATGGCTTGGATATTTATTACTGTCTTTAAATATATGTCGGCTAATTCTGTTCATTGTGCTTGTTTCATTGTGTTGCATGCAGACCATTTCAAGGACTTATTCCAAAACCAGGTATGAGCACGCTGCGCTTTGCTTTCATGACATCTGATTTATTACGCAGCATCTATCACAGAGAGCAAAACAAACAACATTTAATGTTACTAAACATATTTTTCGTTGACTTCATCAGCACCTCGACGAGTCACTTTACTAAAGAAGGCCTACGCTTCAATAAATGGTGAGGAGAAAATGCTTTGATAGCGTCCATTACAAATGCTGCGGCTTTTATTTTGAATGCTGTCTGTGACCGATTCTCTCCTCCTGACAGATGATGACGACATTAACCGCATGGGGGAGAAAGTAGTCCTTCGAGAGCAAGTCAAGGAACTCTTCAACAAGAAATACGGTAAATAGATCCGCAGCGTGGAGCTGTTGTTATCTGTACAAGACAGATAACCTTTTTACCATGAACCATCTGCATGATGGGTCCAAGTCGTGGGCGTGTTCAGTTTAATTCTCACAACACAGGAGAAAAACAACACGTCCCTTATTGCTCAGGGTGAGCCTCATAAGTGAGACGCGTGGCTGGAAATTTAAATCCAGAATGTTCGTCCTACTTGTTGAATTAGGGGCAAGTCTTATAAATGCATGCTCCAAATTTCACTCATGAAACGTGGCTGTTAAGTTTTGTGGAGCAATTTCAATACAGCCTTCACACAATTTGGTATAGAAGCCTGAAGAGGAAAAAAAACAAACAAAACAAAACAAAAACGGTGCTCGGCTCTAACGTCACAGCAGTGCCTTAAAAATACAACATTTCCACGTGCATAGGGTCCACGGGTGGAAAGTCTGCACGGTAAACAATAAAAAACCTCTTATCAAAGTGGTGTCTATAGAGAGATGTAGTGCAAACTGATTTATTTTAGTTTGTGTGGCAAAGAAAAACTTCACATGTTGAATTGTTGTGCACCTAACAAATTTCAGCATTCTTACTTCTTATTTATTGAGGACTACAGGTGAAACAGCTCTGCGATAGGCCCCGAGGCTGATACGCTCTTTCATTTTGGGCCCTTACCACCACGCAGTGCTTGAGCAAACACATTACCTCATGTTCTCACTCACACGAACACACAAACAAATTTAAGTTATAAAATATTATCATGTAGCAATAATCAGTAACATCTGTAGGATCATTCCAGCTTTGAATCAGCACCACGGACAGCAACCGCAGTCAGCGATCTTGGGAGCAGACAAACTCACATCTTCTTCTTCAGCCAGGCTAGCACACGCTTTGGTTGCTAACTTATTACTGTGATGATTGCAGTGTATGAAGTTCCACCTTTGTTCAGGTTATAATAAAGATCTCAAAGGGTAATAATGCTGCACCTGCACCTCTGCTTAAGAACTTTTAGCTGCTGTTATCAAAATGAATGAAGAACGCTGCATTTCTATGCACGTTTCATACCTACAGTATGCAAGTTACAGGCATGAGTTTCTTTATTCATGTGAAAACATGTGCCTGCATGCTTCTTATTTTTCACAGGAAAAGAAAAGGTGTCACACTGATCGTGCCGTTGTTGTTTGTTCTGTTTAGGTGAGGCTCTGGGCTTAGATCGCTCCGTCGTGGTCCCGTACAAGCTAATCCGCGGCAGTCCAGAGTCTATAGAAGTTAGTGGCCTTCCAGACGAAATCCCTTTCCGAAACCCAAACACCTACGACATCGTGTGCCTGGAGAAAATCCTTCAAGCCGCAGATAAAATAACATTCAACATCAAGAGCCAGCTACAGTGAGTGCAGCGACACCGGAATGTTCAGCAGCGCTAGCCGTCGCTGCACCGTACATTTCAGCGGGAATTTAGGGTTTTGCTTCTCGGTAGTTAAGCTCATTATGGTTTATTTATGCTTTGGATTTAAATCCAGCCTCTAAGATGTCAAAGAATAAATCTTCCACAGCAAATGTAAATAAAATGAAATAGAAAACAACGTTTTGACATCCAAGCAGTTAAGCTATGATGAAAGAATGAAGGCAAAGCTTTAAATCGTGCACAATTCAGGGATTTTTTTTTTCTAGGTATCAAGTAAGTGCAGTCTGAATAGAGGGCTAATTAGAATTCAGGAATGTTTTTTATAGTTACAAAAAAAAGATTGTATCTTTAAAGAAACAAAAATGCAGCTACATCACCTAAAATGACCCGGCCTTTTCTCTCTCCTGTTCAGACCTTTTGCAGAAATCTGTAGCCAAGCTTGTAACACAGGTAAGTGTTACACAAACAACCTTCTGTTGACGGAAGTGAGGCTTTCTGTGCTGCCTGTGCCTCCAGAGTAAAAGCCTTTGCTTTGTGCCTTCAGTAGGAACAGACGCCTCCACTAATCGACGGAAACGCAAGAGAGTCCAGGAGAGCAACCAAGTGCCTGCCTCCTCCGACCTGGGAATATCAAGCAATCAGATTCCAGTGATGGTACATTAAATAAAATATATATTTTCTTCACCATATGAATTGATAAGCTAGTTGATGAATACTAGGACATCTTTATTCGTCTGTTCTTACTCACACAGGTCCTTAAAGACTCTTAAAAACCTTAAATACACTTTGATTTCAGAGCTACAGCATGCTGGCCTGCTGTTAGGGCAAAAACGCACTTTATTAAGGAAGCCCCCCTTTACCTCGACTTAACTGTAGCTTCGATCAGTCAGAGAAACTCAAGCATTTAAGACGCCTAACAGAATGCGTATCAGCTTAAGTGCAGTGTATGTGGAGCATTTAGCTGCTGTCAGACGGCAGCCTCTGACATGTAACTGCAGCCATCACCAGTCCCGACAGGTGGCACAGCCTCTCTTCCTGTGACAGGTAGGTTTATAGTAGCGCTTTTAGCAAAGTGGAAGGTAAGCAGCCCAGTTATTCAGGACTGACTGAGAAAATGAGCGGTTATATATCAGCCGTGTCACTGACTCTGACGACACGATGTGTTAACGCGCACAAGGAGGAAAGGAACACAGCTAGCACTGCTAACGTTAGCCACGCTGTATCCAGGGATGGCAGGATGTAAAGTTTCAAACTCAATACTGATAACGAGGGAAACGGGGAAAACTTCGATGATCCATCATAACAGAACAAGATCCTGGCAGCAGGAATTAGGACAGGAGTTCCTCGTTGAACTTCCACGTAGGCTTCATGTATACCTGCGAGAGCTACAGCTCTGCTTGTTTTCTGTGCTTCTGGTGACTTGGCAGCATATTTACCAGCTAGAGTTTGTGAGCTGCCACTGTTTCTCTTTAATGTCTGGTAGATGTTTTAGAAACAACACACTATTAGACACAAATAGTTAAACTGATGCTCCCTGTTAATGTCCCAGCTCACACGTTAACTAGCCATAACCACAATGGTACAATGATAACTGAACAAACGGAGAATGTAGCAACCAGGTAACAGTTAAATGATGTGGTGACTGTTTAATGGTTCAGCGTCGTTGTACCAGGAACTTTTACTGACCTCTCAAATCCCTCAAAGACCAGGATGTCGGCGTTTACGATGCTTTGCAAAGGTTGTTTTAGCTTCGTTGCCACCACTTGGTTGTCTTGTTTGCATGCAGGCTTATTGCATCCTCGGCCTTTCCCTGGCATTTTGCTTCATATGCAAAGTTTATCATGCTACGCCAGCTCACTGACTGTTGGTGTGTTCAGGTGCTAGTGAGGAGCTGTGAACTGGAGAAGGCAAAGATGGCACTGTTGGTGTTTTTTATTTATTTATTTGGGGGGGTGTAACCTTATTGTACCCATTAATTTCATTTTTGTTACATCCCACATTTCTCTATAATTTATTCCTCGTAGTTTGTTTATTTTAAACAAATAAAATCATTTAAGGGGATGATGATGTAGAAGTCTCAAAACTCGTGGGTCAAATACGATACACTTCGCCTTATTGGGTTAAAGCACATCTAATATCAGATCAGTAAAAAGCTGATGGTCCTCTCCCCATAAGTTCACGTTTTCTCAATCTTCTTAATGCGATAACTTCAAAACAAGATGACGTAGGATTGTGAAATTGATACCACAGGTGCGTCTACTAGGAGGCTGAGGAGTGGTTGCCAGCATTTTTATGAGTGTTTCCTGTCTTTTAGACTAGTCCACTAGTTTTCTTCCTCTCTCCGTCTGTTGTTTAAAAGACTAGTAAATTAGTGACTAGGCACGTCCTTCATCTGTGGTGATACCTCCATACAAATGGGCAGGCTAAGCAAACCAGAGAGCTGGCATAAATTGGATAATTTAGAAAAGAGCCAAAAGATATTGGCGAGAAAGGCAGGAAACCCCGGTCGCTGATGGAGTCGGAGTCGATAAAACACCTTAAACTGCAGTAGATGACTGTGTGTTCAACTGTAAGTACTGAAATGTAATATTAAAACAGGTTTAGAGGCAAGGTCAGCAACATTTTGCAGTAATGAAATCATTTTCTCCACCATTATGCTTCTTCCCTGCAGCAGTGGCCCATGTACATGGTGGACTACAGTGGAGTGAACGTGCAGGTTCCCGGGAAAGTCAATTACTGAAGGAGGAACCAGGGCGGCAGCAAAGGGATTCAAGGAGGAGTTTGTCAACACTCGCCACTCTTCCACAGTGCAACACTAACACTTTACCAGTGCTACAACTTAACGATCTCTCCAGACTGAATACAGAGAGCTGCAGGTTTGACTCTGAGAATGATGCTCGAGTGTTGAGGAACAACAGAATGTATGTGGGTCGAAACGTTGCAGGGCAGATGTCGGCTCGACGGGACTGCTATCAGCTGGTCGCGACAGTAATGTTGTTGTTTTTTTTTACAAACTGCAAATATTACCGACGTCGTGTTATTTGCCCTTGCATTTTATAAAATGAGTCATGCTGTTGTTTTCCAGCATTTGGTTGCAATGTATTACTGACAGAAAATGTCTTTCATAATGATATGGTTCCATATTATTCAGATATTTGTACTTTTTATTTATTATATTTATTATTAAAATATAACATTATGTGCAGGGATGTAAAATATATTATTCTGTTACACAGCTCTTCGAGGAACTATCACAACACTAACAGATGCTACTAGCACTCAGTAACTACAGGTAACCGCTGAAAACATGATTAAAATGAAGTGTCTTAATTGGGTGTTGGGGTGACGGCAAGATTTTAGAAATTAAAGGAGACAAAACGGACTCAGAGTCTGCCCCACGGAGCAGGGAAAACCTCTGCTCGCATTGAAAACGAGACACTCGGTAAACAGCCTTTTTTATGTTAGCACTACATTAACGATTTGTAAAATATTGTCATATTAAGTCAGCCTGAATGTATCATGTAAAGAAAAGAATGGTATGTTATTCTGCGGTGACTGTCTCTGGACTAACAATATTTAATATGCTGTACCTTAACGCCAATTAGGCCTTTGAAATAAAATGTGTTGCCTTGCACTTTCATTTTGTAGTAGTTTGTTTTGGTGTTGGCGGGGGGGGGCGTCAACTTAATGAAAATGAAGAGGAGTGTAAAAAGCAAGAAGGTGGTGAGTTGAGCCCATAATGAGGATTAAATATGATGACAAATAACTAAAAGCTGTTAGTCTAGGCTTAATGTCAACGACAGGAACCTGAATATTGTTACTGTCGCTAGCAAGTAAGCAAAATTTGTATTTATATTGTACCTTTCAAGATAAATATCACAAAGTGTTACAGAACAAACCTGCATAAAAACAAAAGGTCAAAAATATGTTTTTTTTAAACAAAGAGTTTTTAGCTGCTTTTAAACAGAATTACAATAATTCAAACATGACAAAATAAAGGCATAAATAATAATTTTCAATTCAGAGTATGACACAGTGGAAGTCAACTTGGCAATGTTTTTAATTGGTAAACTATGAGAGAGCCAGAGATTTAATGTGAGCTTGCAAAGTTCTTGATTGAACATTTAAGAAAAGTGGCAAAGGGACCTAAAATTTCCATCAGGCAAAATCTGTCAGGGCCCAAACGAGGGCTCTTTTTTTTTATTGAGTCGGAGAAGACTGTCTGCTAACCCGTGCTGGGCTTGTAATATGTAACTGTAGGCTTGACATATACAACTGAATGTCATCTGCGTAGAAGCGATAAGAAATATCATTAGAAGTCCTCCAAATGTGCTGAAGAGGGAGCAGATAACAGAAACGATAAAGCCCCCAAAACAGAACCCTGTGGCACACCGTAGGCAAGAAGTGTATCTGAACTTTGAGGCAGCCATGCAATATCGTATGAAAGCTCAGACACCAGTAGTTAGAGCATTAACACTTCATAACCAGCAACTTTTTCTCAGCCATTGTTACCAAAATAAACATGGGTTCTGCTGTTTCCTTGAGTAATGTTTTACCTGTCATTTTAGGGGACTGTTATTACTATTAATAACATAATTGTGATGAATGCTGGTTGGAGGGGTCCCAGCAGACTCTGGAACTGTCACTGCCTGCAGCAGACTGGCAGCCAGACCAGCATGTACCCCACCTCTCACCTAAAATCAACCTCACAGGCAGCAGTGAATCAGCTGAGACAAGAACTGATGGATGGGTGATCTGCAGGAGTGCAAACATTACACAAATCTATTGAAAGAATGATTCAAATCTGTATGTGCACGATTAAAAATGAAGAAGAAGCTGCTGCTCATCATGACTATTGGCTATTTTCACGCAACAAAAACAAACAAACTGATTTTGAAAAATTAGTTCTTGAAATGTTAAGTTTCTACTATTTACTCAGTAGACAAAAATTCATCTATCAGTATTAAGTTTAATAGCTCAGTAAGGCCCATGGATATTTCTATTATAAATAATTATATAGTCATATTTACCAATCGAAGTTCTCATTTAAGCAGCCTTATTTTTTCAAAAATAATATCTCAGTCCTTGATTTAGGAGAAATTGCTGCATATTTATGTCCTAAAGATTTCCTTTACCTACTCCATATATAGGAAATGGACGAGCCGCATTTAAAGCTCTATTCCCAGATTAAAACAACTAGTAACTTTAGTAATTTTAGTATTTTGGAAGAGCGTTTTAAACACTACACAAATAATGATTTTCATTATTTTTACTGTACCCCAGTACAACTCCATAAATGTGGGATAAAATGGCTGAAAACATGTGTCATTAGTAAATAAACATTATTTACTAGGACTGTTGGAGTTTGTAGTTTAGCACGCCGTTTAGTTTCCCACATTTGCTGTTATGTATTTAGTTCTGGTGACTGCGCTGGTTTTGTCAGTACTGGTTGGAAGGCCTGCTTTGCTTCCTCCTTTTCAGGTCCTAATTAAGAGCTGCTCCCATCTAAAACAGGAAATGATGTCACCGGACAGACTAGACATCTGTCCAGGGTATACCCCACCTCTCGCCCTATGGGCCAGCTGAGATAGGCTCTAACCCCCATGAACCTGAACTGGATAAGCAGAAGAGGATGGATTGATGGATGGACTTCACATGGAGCCTATTTAAGTTTGTTTCCTTCCAACATGGCTCTCTCTCCTCCTGGAAGGCTGGAACTTATCAGGCAGCCAATTTGGTTTTCTTTCCACTTGATTGCGTGTCATCCCTAATTTAAGTTGCGTGTTGGTTATAGGTTAGCACCAGTTTTCTTTTCTTCTTTTTCTCAGTTTATGATTAATAAATTGGCTTGGTGGAAGCTGTTGTTGTATGGCTCTCCCTTCTATATTATTTCCTGCATGAGCCAGACAAAACAAGCTCGTTCACTGCAAATCTGCAAAATCCTTGAATGTTCAAGGCTGTGAAATCTATTGGGACTACAAAAAGACAGCATCCGATCCATAGCTCCACTAAGATGTAGTGGAGCTATGGATAGGAACTTTAAAAGAGCCTTTAAATACTAATATTACAGCAGCACCATTCCACCTCCCTCTAAGAGCTTTCCTGATGCTGTGATTGGATGTGTGCAAAGTCTGTTAGAGACTGTAAAAAAGTGGTGAGCCAACTTTGTTGTAAAATTAGGAGTGAAATCCCAAATACTGGGAACATTTGGAATTTCAGCCCTATATGAACTCAGTTAATCAAAGGAATCCGTACACAGCAGTACACCACTCATGAAAAAGGTGCATTAAAAAGTTACCAAAAGTGCAATTACTATTATGAAGGGGTAATCTGCCTAAAGATTACAAAGATATCTCTTCATACTGAGCTGTAAACTTGTATTTCAGCTCTAAAGTCGGTCATTTTAACACGGAAGTCCATGGGGATTGGCTCACCAATGCAGTCTGCCTCAAGTGGCCACTCCAGGAACTGTAGTTGCATCCAACTGTTGGCTTCACTGTTCACCCGGAGAGGTCGCTGCCTCCTGTCTTCCAAATTCCTTTCAGTACACTCCACTTATCCACCAGCCTTCACAAAAATGTGCCCCAGTAGTTTTCACCTCATCCTGCTAAAAAAAGACAAACTGACTCACAGCAGCACAAACCTAACCTTCTTGGCAGGGAAACACGGGACGTTATTGTTGCTATCCATAATTCTCTGCTTGCTGCAGGTAACTTAAAGCAAAAAAGCTCTTCTGTGCACTTAAGAGTCCATTAAGACAGAGTCAAAGTGAAATACCCTGCCAAGCGGTCATGTTCTCCTCTTAACATTTCCACTGGAAATAAATGTTTGAGTGGTTAAAGGAACATTTATTTAGCAGGAAGCAATGGGTTCGTGCTCTGCAGCTAGATAACTAAAACTGCTCAGAAGGCACCGAGCAGTGCACTGAACACACAGGGCATACATAAAGACTCCTCGGCAGCTACGTCCTAAAGGCTTTGAAAGCACTTCTTGTTTAACAGCTTCTTGCTATGAATGATGGGAGCATAGAGTCACAACTAGAAAACAGAGATCCGTATTTGTGTTTCTTTTTAGCTCTTCTCGGTGGAATAAGCAGCCGTGGGATTGGGTGGCTGGGACTGAGCTATGTCTGAATCAAAAAGTCATGGCAGATGTTGTAACAGGAGGGGCTGGATTGGTTTCTTAGCAGCATCTGGTGACCCAGGACCAGTAATAACCTGCAGCATTTCATACCCAGGGCCAAGTTTAAGCCCTAAAGCTGGCCCGTGTTTAAGCCTATTAATAAACCTGAACTCATGCCACAACTGGCGCCTAATGCAGGCACCTCACCTCTACTTGACCCATGCCTATTATTGCGTCATAACTAGGAGTGTTTCATGTTTAGACCAGTCAGTGGAATCTGATCAGAACACATTAATCCAGTGTCTGGAGTTAAACTGGAGGGGTTAGGTAGATAAAGCTTTTACATCCCCACTGAGCTTTAAAGGTACTTTATGTAATTTCCTTCTGCAACTTTAGATATAAATGTCACCACCAGGAGGTGGTGTTAAAACACCACCTCCTGGTGGTGACATTTATAGCTGATTTAAATTTATAGCTGATTTAAATGGCTAAATTACCTCCTCAACATGTCTCGAAGTTCTCCAGAGGCCTGGTGATGAACTAATCATTTGATTCAGGTGTGTAGACCCAGGGTGACATCTAAAACCTGCAGGACACCGGCACTCGAGGCCTGGAGTTGCCCAACCCTGGTTTAGATTATGTGTGTCAAACATAAGGGCTGGGGGCCAGATCAGCAAAGACTCTAATCCGGCCCTACTTAAAAGCTGTGGAAAACTTTTAACTGTATTTTCATAAGTTTTACAGCTTTATCTTTACTCATAAAAATCTCCCCCATGATACACCAAAATATTTAGGTAATAGATAAAAAAAATTTAAATGACAGAAAATGTCATCTTTTTCCCTTTTTTTTTTAAAACAATGATACACTGTAAAAATAAATAAAATATAATTTTCTGACAGGACAATCAAAGAGCTACAGCTCTGCAATTTTACATGTTTTTCTTACAATTTAAGAGATCAACTAATTTTTAAAAATAGTAATTTTTTTTAAAGTTTCACTGATTTCTTTTCAGAAATTCATGTCAAAGTTTATGGGGATAATGTGTGGTGATAGAATCTACTTTTAAAGTAGGCCAGTCTGTTACTTAACTCACCTGATGCTATACTGATGCCTTAATAGGTTGTTTTTTTTTAGCTTCACAGACTTCAGGTACAAAAAGAAAAACCTTACTTCCTCATCTACATTATTCTGTATCCTCAAATGACTGAAGAGGTGCTCATGCTGGAATTTCATCGTCATGGCAACGGGGAAGCAGCTGATACACAGACTCATTTTATTGCAGCTCTGCATCTTTACCAGGTGCAGGTGAAGGCTGAAGATAAGAAGTCAAGGTGATAAGCGTTGCCAAAGAACCTTTACCTCCTCGCTCTTTGATGTTTGGAGACTCTTTGTTTTGCTGGCAGATGTATGTAGACTTGATGGACGTCCATCCCGTCCAGCAGTCCATCCCTGCAATCCCCGATGTGTCCTAGTCAGATACCAGAACCACCTCAGCTGGTTCCCTTTAATTGGAGGAGCTCCTCCAAGTGTACTGAGGCCACACTTCCTGCAAAGGAAACCCAGCTATCGTTTCACCATAACAAACAGAAGCAAATAATCAGGATAATGCGTTTTGCTGTGACCACCTACAGCACCATCAGACATCTCCCACCTTCATCTTCTTTCTGCCCTCTCTGGACGTGATTAGATGCCAATCTATAATGCTTCAGGGAGCCATGTATTGAGAGCCATTATCCATGATGATCACGTCGAGTGGTCATACAGCAGCTAATTAGCGGGGGTCGCATACAAGGACCTGAAGCACCTTAAAGTACAAAAACTGCAACACTACCCTGCAGACTGCAGCTTCATCAGCTCAAACAGATACTCGGATACAAGAGACGAACCAGGGCTCGTTTTGCATTATGTCTTTATTGCAGATATTTTTTTCCCCCCATTTTTTCTTGTTGTTTGTATACATGTCAAGACTGAGTTGAGCGACTGTACTGCAGTACTGTGAGCAGAATAATGCATGTGAATACAGGAGGCGGCAACCCGCAGGATCTTTTTTTCTTTAAAATCAAGACGAGTCCGATGACCTTGATTGTCACACTAAAAATGTTCTCATCCAGAGCCGTTGTTTTGTTTTTTTGTTTCATCTCGGCAGCCGTTTACACCTGTCTGGACAGGAGAACTGAGGTCGTCGGGGAGCTATACACCTTGTCCCCGTGTCACACACGGCAACACAAACTGTAAAACATTTAAGTGAGTGAACCTAACGTGGCGTAGGTTCTGCACATCCGAAAATAAAAAATAAAATAAAAAGTTAAATCAGACTGTTGTGAGTGCTTCTTCTCATCAAATTGTGTTAAATATATCACGGTCAGATCAGAAGTAGTGTTAAATGTTTTTTTAAACATATTTTTGTCTAATTCTTTTTTAGATTTATTTACAACAGTAAATATTGCCTCTTCTCATCAATACGGAGTTTGCTACGAGAGGTGTCCATGTCGCTGAGCTAAACGTGAACGTTTTCAGCAGAAACACTTTGGCATTAGTTACCAATTTAAAAACAACAGAAGAAGAAGAAGAAGAATTGCCCTTTATGGGGAGATCGCACATCTTGCCAGCTAAATGCAGCGTCAGAACTAAAGTGCTTGTGAGACCTTTTATCCCCAGCGTAAGCTCTCATTCTCATGGAAACCGAATGAGGGGATATAGATGAGGCTTGATGAGAAAAAGAAGAGAATAGAATAAAACAAACAAACAAACGGACGAACAAACAGAAAGAACCTCCAGCTGATGGAGGTTTGATGGAGGGCTCAGTCAGTGGAGCCCTGCTGCTTTTTTCTTGTTTTTTTTAATCTGAGTCCAATCTCCTGTAACACGTGATGCAACCAAACAATTCTACTCCAACTGTGTCTCCTCTCAAAGAAGATTCAAGGCTTTTATTTAGCTCACTTTCCCTCCCTTCGCTCACTCCATGAGGTTTGGGTGGACGCTGACATGAATTTATTAACACACAGATGTTGCAGGAAGTCCACCTGGGCACAGAGCAGAGGATTCAGGAGGGTTAACTCTCGGTGGGTTAGCGGTGAGTGGAAGCGTGCGAAGCTCGGAGCTGAGGCCTAGCTGGCGCCGCTGCCGCTTCCTGGGGGTTTGAGGCAGTCCTCTGTCACGCCCTGAGAGGCCAGCTCAGACAGAACATTGTCCAAATAGTTGGGGTCAGGGTAGCCGTGGCCCGACAAGTTGGACATCATCTCGGTTTTGTGGTGGATGCCGTTCCACACCACTGTGTCGGGCTCTCCGGTGGTGCTGGACGTTCCCACGGTGAAGATGAGACGTCGCATCCACGCCACCTTCAGCAGCTCGAGGACCTTTACAGCAGAAACACAAGGAACGCTTGTGAGACACGGCTGGATTTGAAATTTATCATCTCATCATTTTCCAGCCTTTAAAATATAGATTTGTTACTTTTGTTTGTGTCACTGAATAGTTCACAGCTCAATTAAAGAATTGTTCAATAACTTAAGACGAGTCTGGTTCTGTGAGAGGTTTCTTCCTGGTAAAAGGGAGTTTTTCCTTCCCACTGTTGCCATGTGTTTGCTCATGTGGTCTTTAAGTGATGACTTATGAACCCTGCTACCGGGTTTAAACTACTCTGCGTTTATTAAGGCTGTTAGGGTTTTTTTTAAACATGCTTTAATGCTTTGTATCTTGTTCTATTTAATCTGAACAAGCCCCTAAAAAGAAAAAAAAAGAAAAATCAGTGATAACTGTCGGCCTCTCTCGGTTTTATTTAACATTATTCATCGGCAGCACATTTGAAAGCTCAGTTTTTAAAACCTTACAATGTAACTACAGCCCAGCTGTAATATTAATGACTAACCTCGTATTGTGGATGGATTATCTCAGTTGTTCTCCTGACTGAAGTTTGGTCCGTTTACAGCATCCTGCCATGCGATTGCATTTGTCCCTAACCATCGGGAACCCTCATGTTAACTTTTATTAAGTGGAAAAAAGTTAGTGTTCATCCTCCAGCTTCACTGTGTTTATGTTATGCTAACATCGCTGTGTTGCTAGCGATCACGTAGCACATCATTATGTACCAGCTAGTCCAACTTCAGTAACCCTACAAACGTCACTGCTGTTTAGTTTTTCTTCATTTATGTTGGAAGTGATAGCAGAGCTGTACGTTTTAATTTTTTCAGAAATCCGTCAGTCAGAACATGCTATATCGTGTTTAGGTGGAAACTAGCGAGCTAACTTCCTGCTAATTGTGTTAAATTTCATAGAATCTGTTTTTATGGATGGATTTTATGACAGATAAAATAATTTAGACAGTTTGTAACTCTCAGTAATGCTGCAGTGTTCCTTTGACTTTGGGACCTGAAGTGGAGTTTGGACCCTAATGACGTCAGACTTAAAGACCAGATGGGGCTTGTCTAATTGTTGGGGTTTTCTCCGTATTATTTTAGGGTCTCTAACTTTTACCTTCTTTCCATTCTTGTCTTATTTAATTATCTGCAAGCAAGCTGGTCTCATTGCAGTCCAGACCTGAATCCATCCATGTATTTCATTATGGCATGAAAAACAAAATACGTCACTGAGGTCATGAACTGTAGCAGAGAGCCTACATTATGAAAATACAATACGGCTGTGTCCCCAACGTGGGGATATTTTCATAATCTCACATCCATGCAGTGCAGGCAGCGCTCACCCGCCAGCGTCTGCTGCTGGAAATGAGTCTGCGGCGCGGCACAGATAAACTACAACTGGAATAATTTAATCCAATTTTCCATTAGTGAATTACATAAGAGATTATTTATAGACTCTAAAGAGTACGACTGTGGTTACCAGTGAACACGGCATGAGGCACTGATGCACCATGAAAACAACACAGCCCTATAAATGAGCACAACATTAATGATAACAGCGCGCTGGAGTCCTCGTGGAGCACTACGCCGATGTTTGGGTAGATGACGTTCGCCTGTCGAGTTCCGGCAAGTTGATGTTCTTACCTTTCTGCCCTTGTCGTTGTCTGGCAGGAAACAGAAGCGAGGGAAGCCTCTACAGGTGTACGGCTGGCCTGGGTTGGGATGCTCGGGACCCTGGTGACAAGGACACAAAGTGACTGATGTTAAGTTATAAAGCTTAATATAACAGAGAGAGAGAGGTCACTCGGAACAGTCGGATAATCTAATCAAAGATTTTGCAGATTGTTAACAGTAAACCAACAGATCGATACAAACTGCATTTAAGTGCTTACAACTTCAGGCCGGCTGTGTATGTGGAGGTTATAAATAAATACATAAAAGTCAGATTTACAGACAGAAGAAATTGCGAACGAAATTGGGCTTTCTTTCCTAAAACGCTGTAATAAAAGGAGGAAGTAACTCTGAGCCGTTCACAGCAGCATGCAGGAAAAGGCTCTTTAGCAGCAAAGCCGAGCATCAGACTGTTAAACTACTTTAGAAAGCCCTGGCTAATGGTGAACAAGCTGTCGTCCAGGCAACAGTTTTTCTTCCAGTCATCCTCTAATTAGACGTCCAAATGTGCTGGCGCAGACACAGACAAACATACAAAAACACTCCTGAGTTCGAGATTCCCCTCATGCTTCTGCTCCTAGTATGAAACAGGAAAATTCGTCAAGACAACAGAAAGATGGTCTTTCCTCCTTTTTTCCCCAGCTCTCTGTGAACTTGTGATCATGGCCCACATTGAGGATGGTCTGACAATGGAGTTGTTGCAGGAGTTTTGACCTTTTTGTCTTGTTATCGTAACATTTTATAACATCAGTAACTAGTCTACTTCTAAAGTACAAGTTTCTATGATTCTGGTTCCTTTTAACTATTCCAGGAGCTTCTTTTCTCCAGGGACAGCAGACGAATCTGTGCTATTGATTTTGACACCCTGTCAAGTCTAGCAACAGCAGATTGTGTCCAGTATCTGAACAATCTGCCTGAACATGCTTTTTCGGCTGGTGAGGATCTGCTCTGATGTATGGCTTGGAGATGATGTAGCTAACAAAATAACAGGAGGTGGAGGGGGCAGCGTTGGAGATCAGGAGATTTTTGCTAGGAGACCAGAAGGGAGAGGATTAGGAGTGAGTACATCAGAGGGACAGCTCGGGCTGAGACACGTGGGACATGTGCAAATGGGGGACAGTGGATATGCTGAACAAAGGATGATGATTGAGGAGGAAAAGAGGAAGACCTCAGAGAAGATTCATGGATGTAGCGGAGGAGCACATGCAGAGGGTTGGGGTGGAGGGTGAGATGGAGGCAGAGAAGGAGCAGCTGAAAGAAAAAGAAGCACCAGCAGCAGTACCTGTATGCCGGGTGGTATGCTATAGATTATCTGGATGGTGCCGCAGTCTGGGTGGCCTGGCAGCGACTGTGCGATGCTGTATATTTCCATCTTGCCTTTCGGCTGGGTGCCCGTCTTCTCGCCGTAGATTGTCTTACACGAGGGGCACTGCAAGCTGCCATCCTGAGGAGGAGGAAGCGAAGACACCAGAGAGCCACGTCAACCAAACCATCAGTAGAAACAAGCAGAAACACTCAACAACTTCCTCATGAGTGGATCATGATGCAAGAGCAAGTTTGAAGGAGCAATCAATGAGCAGTAAATGAGTCGGCTGGTCAATCGAGAGAAAATTAATCACCAATTATTCTGTTTGTGGCGGAAAAAAAAACCTTGTTTCAAAATGTGTTGACTCACCTCACTGATAAACTGATTTTAGATTTAGAGCTGCTGGTCATGTTTGATCATCATGAATGTGGGCAGTTGTTTAAAAGTACAAAGATTGAACTTATAGACTTTGTTTCAGGGTATTATTCTCTGAAGTAGAAATTCATCCTAAATGCTATTCCACATATCTGCATTTGAAATGACCTGAAACAAACATGGCAGAGGCGCTAGTGCTGTAGCCAGGACCAGCTTCCTGGCCATCAGACTTACAGATTCTTACAGTCAGCATCTTTCCATCTTCGGCCTTAGTAGAATCAACACCAGTTGGGAAATTGTTTTGTTGGTGATGTTACAAATGTTGGTGATGCTGCTCTACTCCCCCAAACCGCTGTCCCTACATGTCTGTGGCCACATGATGACAGATATAGCTACCAACACGCCTAGTGATACAGAGAAATTAGTACGCCCATAAACTAGTGCCAAATCCATTAGAGGTTTTCACACTTAGCCGAGATAAAGCTGGGGTGAACAAATAAGGTAATCTATGGGTGTGGGGTTTTGTTTTTTTTACTTCCTCTGGCTTCCTGTGGGGTGGGGGGTTTAATTTATGCAACTTCTGACTGTACTGCTGTCTCTCTTGGGCAGGACACTCTTTTAAAGATGTTTTTAATCTCAGGTTTTTTTTACTGGTTAAATAAAGATTAAATAAAAGTCCTCACACGGTTGTGGTGGTTTTCGTCCTTCAGATCTGAGGCTACACTGCTGATAAAAGTCTCTTACCTTCGTTCCATTGTTGTACATGGCCAGCATGCAGAGCATATGCAGGGTGTGCCCACATTTGATGAATTTTCCCACAGTGTCTGGCTGGATGCTCTGGCCTCCCTCCTCTGTGGATGGGGTCTCGTAGCCAGATGGGTTGGACAGTTGGTCCATGCAGATAATACAGTCCTGAAGGTACATGAGATATCTATGCTCAGAGCAAAATTACACAACACAAACTCACTTCACAGAAACTTATTTACCATTCGGCTCAACAATCACTATCAAACAAGACAGCTGAGATAAAACAATTTTTGTGCTGCATTCAGTTTTGAATTGTGGTTCTCTATTAAGTCCAAACTCAGTGTTTAGTTAAGCTTGAGCCGAGACAGCAGAAAGTCTTTTGGTCTAGGAGGACACGCAGAAACAGCTACAGGTGTCACAACACAGGATACGGTGGAGCTACAGGTGTCAGAATTAAAAATGCTAAAGTTTGATTTGGAGTAACCGAATTGGGAACATTAGAGAGACAGCTCAGGTTGAGCTTTGGAAAAAAAGTTAGAGAGACATGACTGAGATGGTTTGGACATGTGCACAGAGGAGGGATGGTGGGTATACTGGGCAAAGAATGGAAAGGAAAGAGGACGACCACAGATTTCTGGAGTGACAGAGGAGGATGCTGTGGTGTGATGATCCGCTGTAGCAGCTGCTAAAGGGAGGAGCGCTAAGGAGAAAACAAAGTCTGGGAATAATTCCCAACCAGATTATCTCTTATACTCTTCAAGTTAAAGACAATTTGCGTGGACATGTTATCAGACGTGGGGCTTGAACCAATGTAGAAGTGGTAAAGGGTTATTTACTCGAATTACATTTAAAGATGATGGAAATCCAGTAACAAAAAGACTGACTTTGAGTGTTTAATGGCTAATTGTGTAAAATATTTTTGACCTCAATACTGACCAAAAGAATCATTCATCCGATTCATGCAAGAATTGTTCATCAAAACAATAAATGAACTTTTCTTTCATTTCTAACAGATCTGGGAGTAGACGGGGGAAACACGGAAACATTTACCTCGTCTTGTACTCCAGCCACCACCTCCATGTAGCGCTGAATCACCTCCTCGGGTCTCTGAGTTGATGCTGAAAGAGGAACAAAAGGAGAAAATGCAAAGTCAATGAGCGATTGAGTCAAAACAGGCCAGTCCACAAGCATACAAGAAGCAGCAAGAAGAGAGATTCTGATGAGATGAAATGAAATGGTTTGTGTCACAACCTCAAAATACAATTTCAGTCAAACATTTCCCATGTTTAACTCCAGCTACCATTAAATTGTGTCCAATTTTGACCAACATCCTCCAATCAAGAACCAGCCGATGTAAATATGTGATGCAGAGGGAAGACGTGAATGCTTAGCAGAACAACGAGCATTAAATGTTGATTGGCAACATGAGACATTGAAACAGACACTGTCTGCATTTTCCTAACATATTCTCTCAAATGCACAAGCGTGAGTGTCAAGTCTGTTTAGGAAAGAAAACTCTGCGAGCTAACTAAACGCTCATCCTCATCGTTTTACGTTTATTGCGTAAGACAGCTCCATTTAAATACAGATTTTTAAAGATCGAATAATTCTTCCCAGCTGAGAAACACAAAAAACAATAACTTCACTGACCCGTTTCCAGACTCGCTGTGCTTCTAATCGCTGACACGTGACCTGTTTATTTTAACAAGCGGCTGTGACAACATAGAGAAACAAAGAACGGCAGCAATAATGTGAAAGTGACAGGTAACATATTAGCCGAGTGACACCAAACTACAGAAAATGAGCAAAGCCCATTTAACACACACCGAATCAACCTCCAGCAGCTTTTTCTTTCAAATGTCGTTTTGCATGAGAAGCTGGAACAGTACCAACATTTTGTCCTGATGTCATAAGCACCTAAACGAAGACCTGCTGCTGTAATAAATATGTTACAAATGAAAGCAAACGCCACCATAAGCCAAGAGAGTGGCTCCACTCTGAGCTGCTTGGCAAGATATTCCTCTTATCTGCACTTACTGCCCCCCACAGACTATTTACTCAGGTTTTTCTTCCTGTAGTTTATCACCCATATCTATACACTTGTATTTAGAATTGAAACATTCTGCCAGAGAGCATCTTTTTGCCGCATTTAGCCAAATTAAGGCAGACTTAAGAAGGAAGTTAAAGCTAATGAGGTGCAGGAGTTGAAGAGCCTGAATGACACTGGAGGGGGAAACAGCAGAAAAGCCTGTGATAGTTGAATCAAAGCCAACACAGATAGTCAGTACACTTGCGTGAAAGTGAGTCAATGCAGGACTTAATGTTCCTCAAGCGTGTGGTGCTTGAGGATGAAAAGCAGATCACAGGACGACGATGATGTTGATGAGAGGGAAAAAAAAAGAAAAAAAGGTAGATTTGAGGACTGATGGTGTGGTAGCTACCTCTCCTGTGCTGTCTCTTTGCTCTCCTAACTGAACTGCTGGTGCTGGTGCTGCTGCTGCTGTGGGGCTTGATGGGCCTGCTGGCTGGGGGAAGGAGAGGAGGAGGAGGAGGAAGAGAGAAAGGAGCAGGCTGCTGATGCTGTGGCGGCGGATGCTGCTGCTGCTGAGGGAGAGGGGCAGAGGTGAAGTGCACGCCGAGTCCCACTGCTGACATCAAAATGGAGGCCATGCCTGGAAGTGGAGGGGGGTAGGGTGGGGGTTGGTTTAGGTTGAGGCGGGATGGGACAAGGCAGAGTGGGGCAGGTGAGCAAGGCAGGAGGCAAGTGGAGATATGCAGGAGGCAGAAGGGAACAAATCAAGAGGTAGCAGCAGCTGACGCGCCCACATCGAGCCTTGTCCATACACACTTACAAAAAACATCACACTCAGACGGCAGAGATTTTCAAATTAAACCCATACTGTTCATGTTCAACAAATTAATCTGGTTTACTGTGGCTGTCCCTCGTCTTAAATCCACTGTGCTGATTGCGAACACGGCTAATGTTGCTGCAGTGGTGACATAAATCTCATCAGCTAAGGGCAAAACACAGGGCGTCCTGGTGCTAGCGAAAGATTCACTGGGAATCGACTGTGCCCACAAGCTCCAAGTCTGACCAGTCGGGCCACAGGGAATGATTTACAAGAGCGCAATAACCCTCTGCAATGTGGAGTAAAAGCTTCAATTTTACGATTAAGTGCGGTACCGTTTAAGGACAGGCAAAAATAGAACTTCCATTCTCTTACAAATGAAGAAGTCAAACTCACAAGAAACAAAAGTAAAACACTCGGTTGAGTGCAGTCAACCGTTTTGGCAGATACAGCCTGACTTGGGCTAACTATTAGCAAAACATGGGCTAACTATTAGCAAAACATGGGCCTCCAGTTGTGCTACAAAACTGCTGCTGCTCAGGAGTTTTCTGGTCACTCAGTCTCTTTATTCTGATACTGATTAACAAGAATATTTAACACAGTTCAACTAAGACCTGAAGATGTTGGTTGCTGAGGACACGATGAAGGCTACTGCACGCTCATGCATTAGCACACCCTGCTTTAGCCACTTTACTCTAAATGAGACCAAAACACAAAAAATCAACATCATGACCCAACTAGACTTCAAAGTAGTGACTGAGATTACAAACTCATCACAAAAGTGTTTAGTAAGGTCACAGATCCAGTGAGTGGTGGGTTAGTTTTACCATAGACATCTATAGACTACAATTGTTTTTCCAAACAGAAGAGTCGCCCCCTCCTGTTCACTAGAACGAACAGATGTTAACTTAACTTTGGGCATCTTTTAAATGCAGCCTACAGCTCTGCTCAAAATTCCATATTTTATAAATGTATTTACATTTTTTTTTTTTTTTTTAAATTGGCCAGTTTTTCCTTCAAGGTTGTCTCCTTGGGCACCTCTGAATCCCTTCCAGCCCACTGGAAGTCCTGTTTTTACCACTTTTAATGGGCGTATATGCAATTTCACCACGCAAGTCAAACTTATCTCTGCTCAGTAGCATCCTTGGTGATCAGAGCTGCATCTCCAAGATTGACTGTCAATGCAGATAGAGGCTGGCATGATTTTTGAAGAATATGGATTGTCACCAAGTCATTAAAGACAAAAAAAATCAAATCGTTTATGGATGGTAGGATGACTGCCGTGAAATAACAAAAATGGAAGACGACACCAAGCATCAGACTGATAAAACATGAGGTAATGAGATTAGATGCCACTGAAGATGATTACAGCCGCCAACAAGTCTTACTCCACTACATAATTAAAAGAAAAGAAACTTGCCACTGGTAAAGCTAGCATGTCACAACTCATAATTAAGCGTTCATCTTTGAAGAACAGTTCACTGGTTCCCCGTGAAAATCCAGTAGTATTGTTTTTATATTCTGGCTGTACTTTAATATCCCGAGAAATCTGAAGGACAAAATTAACTACAAACTATCCAAACTGTAGCCCCTACATGCTAACACCTGACCCACAGAAAACAGGATCTTTCACTCCCACAAAAAAAAAAAAAAAAAAAAAGGTTATTTGAGATCCAAAGGTTCAAAAATCAGGTGTGCAGGAAGAGGTGCAGCGCTGCTCCAGGAGACAATCTTGAAGCAGAGACTGATGCCTTTACAGCTTGTTCAATCTTCTAGCTCCCCTGTTTTCCAGTATGAAAATGGCAGGCTAGTGAAAGCCAAAGCAACGTTCATGCAAACAGTTGCATGTGTTGATCATTTGATGTAAAGATAATTTAATTTACTTTAAGCATGTGTCTGCACCAGCCTGTAACAAAGCTAACGTGGGAATGAGTTCGAGTCAATCTCAAACCAGGAAATTAATATATTTGTTTATTTTATATTCTTGACAAAACTGTACAAACTACAGTTCTTATTCCTATGAATATTCATTCCTGAACAAAGACCATTCAAGCTGTACATTTGGAGGAGAAACTGTAAGAGTGACCCTCCATTTGAAACTATTTCCTCGGGTCTCAGTTCAGCATTTTCACTAATGAGGTTCTGGTCCACTTGCTTCTTCCGGGCTGATGGTATCGATTCAGTTTATCATAACACACAACCTGACTCATAATTTTTAGGAGTGAGCAGCAGAGAACAAAATAATGCATTGCTTTTCATTTCTGCCATTTTATGACAATTACAACCTGCTGATGTACTACATCAAACTGCACTCAGATTTTACCACCTCAGGAAAATCAATGTGCTAAAAATATGTGACAATGAGTCATTCATAAGTGGGAAATAAGGTGTGAAACACTATGCTCAAAGTTTTATTTATAACATATTTAATAATGAGAAAAAAAGAGAGCACACCACCTGGATTAGACAGGACTTCACAAGTGTTAATAAGCCTTTGGCTGCAAACAGTCTTTCGATACCTTCCAATTACATCAAACAAATATGATGGTGTCACCACTTCTTATGCTTATCTGCTTGTTATGCTGGAACCAAAGGCACCAACCACAAACACAGCTACTCAAATCAGCCGAGGTGAGTCCGAGGTGGCAGCTAGCGGCTGTTGGCATGACAGTGTGGCTGTGACCCTTAATTAAAAACAGGTGATTGAGAAAGAAAAGGCCATCCTTTACAGTTGTTATAAAGAATGAAATCAGAGACAGAGACCAAAGTAGCTCATTATAACTGGGCTATAAATCATTGGAAGTCTATGGAAGTTGACTCGGTTTTGTAGAGCCCCAAGTAGCCATTAGTAAATAGTCAGAGTAAATTATTACACATAACAAATGTTAGGAATATCTGTTTATGTTTAATGTGCCTGGGGAAAAAAAGGCAGATATATCAGATTCTTAAATCAAGAAATATCGGCATTGCTTTTGGTCTCAAACATCCCTTATCAGTTGGACTGTCGTACAGTTAAATCGAGTTAGTATTCTGGAGTCAATCAAATTTTCACTTTAGGATTTTTGTAGTCTGAAAATGTATGGTCATAACAATATTACTCCACCATCTATATAAAATGTGGCAAAGACCAGCAGTCAAATTTAGAAATTGCTTTGAAATACTGGCCTTTTAATTAAACTCTTACATCCATACATGGATGTAAGAGTACCTGTACCTACTTCTGATATTATCATGACATGATATCAATTTTTCCATTTTTTAATGCATGCTTGTTATTAGGAGCCTAGTTTCAAGAAAAGTTGAGTGTGCCACAAGAAAACAGTCTATAAGACATGAAGCATGCAGATATGTTGTCAAACATAGCAGGATTCTGCATTTTCATTTTTAGGAAAATACTACAGAAATTATGAAAAAAATAATAATTATACGTGGTGATCCTGAGATTGCTTGAAACATTAAGTCAGAGATTCACCACATTTCTTCTTTCAGCTGCTCTTTCCATCCCACCCCATCCCTAGTATCCTCCTCTGTCACACTGACCTTTCGCATGTCTGCCTTCACTACAAGCTTACCTCAAATGAAACACATTGGGCCCTGTCAAAGTCAAGCAGGGTCTCTACACATGCAAGCAGAAGAGTGTGTGTTGCCTTAGTTAACAAACGTTTTTCTGTCCTTTCTGGCCATTTTAAAATGAATTTTTAAGCTTGAATAGTAGTGTGTTCTTATCACGGTGCTGGCGATTTTCCTTTTGGTAGAAATCCAAAACCTCTTTGCTGTGCACCAAAGTTGTATGTGCAAGAAAACCCTGCAATTGCGCATCCAACTATTATGTTGTTAGAGACTTAAGAGATCAATCAAAAACCAGAGCTGGGTGGGGTTGTGGGGGTCCACAGCTGTCTTATAGGATCAAGTCTGAATGCTGAAGTTAATCATGCTTTTGCATGGAGAGCCAAATGTTCTGCACAGCATGAGGAAACTTGTGTGAGCTCACACTCACACACAAAATAGGGCTGTTTCAGAAGCTGTTTTTAGGTACACTGCTATGACAAATGGGATGGTATCAGTTAAGCCTCTCTCTGATGTTTGCTTAACATTTAGGGTGCGCACATTTTTATTTTTACCTCCCTCCTTCAGGCTTTTCCTGGCACATTTTTCCTAAACAGACGGACACTCACAGGGAAAACAAATGCAGTGGAGTGGCATCTAAAATACTAACAGTCTACTGAATAAAACCTGAAACTGACTGAGAGGTGTACTGAAGGATAGACAGAGCAGGGGTTACGCTGAGGATGGATGGTCAGTGACCCATTTACCTGCTAGGGCAGAGCTCACGCTGGTGGATCCATTCAGCTGCACAGAGATGGAAGGAACACTGGAGGGCAGGAAACAGAGACGGTGACATTCAGTCAACATAAAAATAAAGCAACAATGAACCAGACAGGAAGAACAAAACAAGAACTAAGAACCATTTTAGTTTTCAATGCAATCAGAGAAAAGGAAAAGCTTTGGCACTAGATCCAGAAGCAAGAAAATTAGACCTGTCAGGGAGTAACTGCATAAGGCTTATTTACCTTTACTGACTGTCTCCAGCTCAGTGAATGACTAATTATCCATGTCTAAGACTGATTAACAACAACTCAGCAGTGACTGCATGTGCACAGAGCAACCAGGGAGCGTGACTCTGCAGTCAATATACAGATGGATATGTGCCCAATGAATGTGTTTACTTTGCAACAGGAGAAAAAGAAGCAGCTGTCAGTCCTCGAGTATGATGGAGCGCTAAACTAAATCCAGTTAAAGGGCTGCAAAAAGGCAACACTGACTCAGTGCTGAGGTGGTACTGGTCTATTTCTGTAGCCAAAGAGCTCTGTGCACTACAGTCTGAACAACATATTGCTTGAATGAATATGGGCTATGACAGCATGTCCGCAACTGTAAAAATAAAGATAGTAATACAATTGTTCATTAAGTTAAACATAAGAGTACAGTGACTGACCTTAAACTTATAAATACAATTCAAATGAAAAACAAAATAAAGGAATTGAAATAGAGGTGAGGATGATGGTGGTTCCAGACTAACGAATGTTTTTGACCATGCAGTTCATGTTACAAGGGCACCCGCCAGGAAATTTGCTGGCACAGATGGGGCAAAGCGAGCCCCAGGCGGCACAGTGACCCAGGAGAGCCACACAGTGAGCAACAGAGAGCTGAAGCCGGCTGCCAAAGAGGGATAACACCACAGGCAGCCGTGCCCCAAAAGGGTGGAGTTACTCAATGGACAGGAAGCTTGCAACATTTTTTTCAGTCATAAAAAACTTGGCAATTAAAGTACTTGAAAAGGAGTATTATGATGTACTATTACACAATAATTATTATTTTTTCCATGCATGGGTGCGCCTCCTTTAGCATCCACACCCAGGAGTTAAAAAAATTTAATTAAATACATGGCAACAATTTCTCTTTTTAAAGCATACACCTCAATGAGAAATGTGAAAGTGTGGGCTTTAGTGAATGTAAACATTCACCGCAAAGATTTAGACAATTCTTTTGTCTACTGAGCAACCATGTTTTTAATACACTAGTTTTAATTTCTAGTGGCTAAAACTCAGCGTGCAAAAAACATTAAAGCCCAGAGAAGCTGCAAGTAAGCTTTCTCTGCTAGCTGGAACAAAAGGAAGGGAGGTCAGTGATGACACAGACAAGAGTCACAGGAAGTGAGCCAAAGCAAACATACCAATGAAGTACTGGAGCTACAGATCTGTTTTTTTTTTTCTGCCTTTCCTGTTTTACAAGAAAGGTCAACACTGACAGAGGCAGGAAAGACAAAGAGGAAGAGGAGGAAAGCAGATAGAGGACCTTGTAACATGAACCCTGCACATCTATCCAAATCACACAATCTAGGATAGGTATCAGATACCAACCTTAACCCATTGGCACTGGTAGAGTTGGTCAGAGGTGCAGAAAGTTGACTGCCAGATGTCGGTGGAGCCCAGGGGCTGCCCCAGGACATGCCACCAACTGAGAGAGGTCTCCTGGGGTACGGGGAGTAGACAGAAGTAGGATGAGCCGCCACAGCCCTTCCTGTGCCTTGAAGACTAGGCCGGTTCAGACTCCCTGACGAGAAGGAATGTCGCGAACGGCTCGGCATGGGTCCGGTGCTGCTGTGGCTTAAACACTGCTGGCAGGAGCAGGCGGGGCCCGATGAGATAGCTGGGGGTCCGGAAGAAGCCAGCGGGTAGGGGAGGTTGCATTGGCGTCGCACCTGGCGTCTGAAACCCGTCGATTTGTTAACCTGCGCCAGAGATGTGAGATCCACTATATAATTGTATCCATGGGGGCCCAGATCTGCTGTGCCTTGGCGAGCCTGATAGCTGTGCTCCAAAAGGATAGAGGTTCGCGTCTCATATGGGGTCCATCCTCCTTCATCGTTGGCCCATTCCCAGTAAACACCACTACCAAGGCCGGAGGACTGGGCAAACAGAGACCGGCGTACTGACCGGGTCTTACCTGAAAAGAAAAGAGGCACATTGATTTTTAGTGAATAAACGGAATTAAAACTGCAACGTTGTGTGTGTGTGTTATGTTTTTAAGACAAAAACGAAAAGCCCCTTGTTCATTCACTTGTATGCCAGAACTAATGACACATTACATACATGGCTATGACTTAATTTTAAACACACATACAGACACACAAAATTATGACAGTTTAAGACACACCAAGCATCTTTAGATGTTAATCTCACAATGTTGTGACGTATTTCATGATTTGTAGCTAGGTTCACGTAAAAATGTCGCTAAAGAACTGTAACTTTATGGATACTTCTCAGCTTATATGAATCATAACAACAGCGCCCTGCAAGCTAATGCTAGCCGGCTAACGTTACAGCCAACCGGGCCTGTGAGGTTTGAGGCAAAACTGTTAACGAGGAATAAACGTTAAGGTCATGCCATGACGTGTTAGATATGTTTACCTGTGTCCTGTCGAAACTGCTTCAAGCTTGGTATGTCAATGAGGTAAGGCGACAGGCTGGGGTCTGATTGTCCGAGACAGATGCTCGTAGAGCCGGGTGCTCCTCCTCTGTGGCCCCGCGGTGACAGACAACGCTCGATGTAGGCGCTCACCTGGCCGCTGTAAGGCCGCCAGTAACCCTGGTCATCCTGCCATTCCCACACCGCTATCATGGGCTGAGACTGCCCGACAGATCCAGAGGGTGTAGCTGACACAGGAGGCCCGTTTCTAGACCCGTTTACCCTGGCACAGGACCCAGACACAATTGCCATTTTCGCCAAAACTAGCCCGAAGCTAACAACAACTCGTTCTGGTTAGCTAGTCAACCGTTTGTGGCTGCGACGAAGACAAAGTGTGCTAGCTGGGCTAGCTTGGCTCGTTAAAAAATTCCATTGTGAATGTGTTAACGCGCCTTTGAGGAAGCAATGAGGTAGGTATCAGTTGGTAAACACTCCAGATAAACACATAAGTACATGTTTGCGAAGCTAATGCATTCACACGGTTTAGCAGTACATGGTTAACGTTAGCTTTGTTGCGGCGTTGCCAGGAATCCGTCCTTCTTCTGCCGCTGCGTTCAGGGACCGTCGGTAATATCACAACTCAGCTCGTCTCAATCTGAAACAGAAAACGTACAGAAACCGTAGGTTTCCCTTTCTGAAAGCTATATTTATTTTAGACCACAGTGACACAGACTATGACTGTATTTAATATCCTTTTTTGTTGTGATTTTTTGTTTTGATTAATTCTTTCGGTTAAGTATTAGATTCATTTTTTTATTTATAATGTAAAGGGTGGAATATGTCAGCGGCAAGATTTAGGGCAAAAATACAATACAGCGATAGAAATACTTGACACAGAGACAAGCGGACATTCCAGTATCAATAGACACAGGCACCAATGCCCCATCACAAAATTTATATTTTATACTAAGAATTTAGTAAGTAAGTAATTATTGCTTCACTTAATTTTTTTTTCTAAAGTCTAGGCTTTTATTTTAACTCAACTTTTTCCCCCTCTCACACCTAATTTCAGTTTTTAATTTGGTTTAACTATAATAACCGTATTATAATAATATCCACTATTTGTAACAAGGGGCCCATATGTGTGTAAGTGAAATCTCATCAAATACATCTAATGTCTTTTTGTGAAATGAAATTGTGATTAAAATGTTTCCGGGTGAAATCTGGAGCCGCAAAGATCTGGGATTTTTTTATTTTATTTTTTTTATCTCAGCCGATAACACGCAGACAATCTTCATTCCTTGGCTCAAGTGGTGGTGCAAAGTGATGATTTATTTAAGGCATTGCGGGGGTGGGGGTTGGTAGTTCTTAAGGTGGAGCACCATTTCTCATGTCAGATGATTAAAACAAAAGCTTTTTGTGCACACCTCACCTCTAAAAATTTCACTTACAAGGTGCGCATGAAGGTTGCATTCTTCTTCTTTCACACTATCCCCCTCTTCTTTCCCTGCTTCTGTATTCAAAGGAGATTAGAACCCCCTCAGTAGTATTTCTGCCCTCAACTGGAGATAAATGGGTATGACACAAATAAGTGCATATGAAAATCTACCAAACGACCTTCTAAAACCTCAGGCTGGTTGCTTGAGTAATTACTAATTATTAACCAGACACCACTAAACTGAATGCTGCCCAAAATTCCAGTGCTAGCACAGGTATAAGACTAAAGATGGCGATAAATGGCTTTGTGATCCATCTGCCACCCAAACTAGATTATTACTGGATCTAGTTTGTAAGTATGGTGTTCATTAAATTCTGCTACGTGATAATAGAACTAGACAGTTCTGACACCAGTGTGAACATTGATTAAAGTAGTGGCCAAATGGGATTTGAGCTTTCCCCTTAGCCCACAAAGTGACATATAATCAATAGCCAAGCCCATGCCAAGTAGTTTCAAAGTGACAAATGTAATAATAATAACTAATAAAGACGAGGATCTGATGTTTCAATATAAAAATAAAACCATTCATCTATGGTTTTTCTAATGTAACTAGAACACATTGTCTCCACAAGCACACACAAAAAAATGACAGTAAAAAATGATGCAAGCAGCCATTATTTGGTTTGAAGACAGAGTCAAATGATTTAGCAGTGAGAACATTGCTTTGAGTCATCTTTTCCTGAGGTCTGCTCTTAAAGTCCTGCAGTTTAAATGTTTTCAGATTTATCAGTGTTAAATTAATTTATGGCATCTGATGTTCTTGTTATTTTTCGTCTTTGTCTTGCGTGCAACAAGAACGCAGAAACACTGGAAAACACTGGAACATTTGCAGTCCCTATGCCCGCATGACATAGAAACTTTTTTTAATAAATCTATCTGTGCACACAGTTTTGGTTTTATTAGCTGAAGTTGTGAAATATGCATTTGAGATTTTTTGCCTTCTTCCTCAGTACAATGAAGGTAACTGGAACTTTGTTTGTGGTGCCTGCAGCAATAAGAAATGACATTTAAAAATTTAACAGGAACAGAAGCAGTGTCCCTGCAATAATCCACAGGCATCACTATGATTAGGTTTCTTGGGGCGGTTTTCTCTCTTTCTCAGCCCACTTAAACAATCCTGGTTGGAGCTGAAGGTCACACGCTTCTTAAAACTGAGAAAATAGAGTTGAACGAGAGCCACGGTCCAGTGATTCTGTAAATAAGCAAAATAAATTTTAAAAAAGCATGCTTAGGCACAGTGACTAGTTTGTGCCCACCTTTTAGGCCTGTGACAGCAGGGGTGGGCTTCAGCATGCCTGTGACCCTCAGCTGGATGAGAAGTTAAGAAAATGGAATAATGGAGCAAAGGAGCTTAAAGCTCCAGCAATACTTTTAGAATACAGAACAATTTCATTCTTTGACAGACGTGTCTTGACTTGGGGCCTTCATCACGGTCATCACAACACAAATTACAGACAACATTTTAAGGAGAGTCGAAAGGATGAGCAAAGCTGCCCGCATGTCTGCAGTTTCCTGTGATACAAGATCAGAGTCTTGCACTTAATAAACATTTTTTAATCATTAAAAAATACAATTAAAAATGATTTTGTCACAACTAGCAATGAACCTGCTATCAACATGCAGGTAAAAAGACCACCTTTCAAATGCTACTTTTCAAATTATTATTATTAGTTTTTTGAGTTTTCTCCAGTGAATGATCAGAAAACAGATTAAACATTCACAAACATTAAATTAGTTTTGCTATTGAACTATGATATATCTCGTGATGCTCAGAAATTATTATTGAGGTCTGCGTGACCACAAACCACACATGGTGTTAATACAACAATCTGCATTTAATTATGAGTTATTATTAATCTCAGGCTGTCTTCCACAGCATGTCTTTTTTCCTGTCTTCCTCCCCTCAGCCCCAACCAGTCACTGCAGATGGCCGCCCCTCCCTGAACCTGGTTCTGCAGGAGGTTTCTTCTTTGTTAAAAGGGAGTTTTACCTTCCCGCCGTTGCCAAAGTGGTTGCTCACAGGGAGTCATCTGATTGTTGGGGATTCTCTGTAATATTTCAGGGTCTCCACTGTATAATATTAAGCACCTTGAGGTGACTATTGTTGTGATTTGGCACTATATAAATAAAATTTAACTGAATTGGAATTACTGTTAACCATGTCATGTAGGATGCCTGTCAGTGTAAGAACAAGTGAATTAGGCCCCAATCAGACAGGCCTAGATACCTGTCTGCAATTGTCTGGCAACCACTCGTTGCTAGGGAAGTTGCACCTTTTGAGACATGTTGGCTGCACCTTGAGGCACAGACTTTCAGCTAGCAACAAAAGATTTTTGATGCAGCACCTTCTTTGCAACCAATTTCACCCACCTCTAGTAACCTCAGGGATTATACATTTTCTGTAGCAAACAGTAGTTGCATAAGGTATAGCAGACAAAATTTTTAAAAAATGTGCTAAACAAAAACTAGATTCTTGCTTTAGATCGTGACATTTAGATCGTGAAATGCAATGTAAGCATTTCCAGTACTTACAAGATAATGAGGACACAATGCTGGAAAAATTAATGCACAATAATGCAGTTGAAAAGCACAGCATTTAGATCCATCGCTCTGTAGTCTACTTTGACAACATGCAATTTGGAAATGCCATTTATGGCTGCTTTGGTGCCATTCTGTATGCAAACTTGCTTATAGCATTTACAGCTTTGGTGTGAGCATTTATTACATTAAACATATACATAAACGTTATTAAATAATGGCTGATGTACATTTGATATTAATAACGGATCTTAGACGCTTGATTTTTACTCAGCCACTGTGAAATAGTCACCTGCACTTATCAGTGTTAATAAATCATGGATTTCATAATTCATCAAGTCTGCAGTTGTAAATGCTAATAAGCAGCTTATAAATGGATTTTGGTCCAGATGTCTTGCAGACCTTTACAAGAAGATAAGTGATCAAATAGTGAGTTGTAAGGGAGAATTAAATAGCAGAGGGCTGTGATCCATGAAGGATTTGATCACAAACTTGCAAGCTTAAACTGATCTGTTGGGTAAGGGAAATGTTGTATTAGCTATTTCTGCATCTTTAAATACAGTTTAAAAATCCTGTGAACAGATACAACTATGCACACTTTCTACATGGTATTTGTTGTGGTAGTATCTATGCTGCCTCATTTGATATACAAACAAACCCAGTTTTGAGAAAACTGGGACACTGTGTGGAAAAAAAATTAAATATGATGCAATAAATGAATAAACAAATGCAATTGGTTGAATATCTGATTAACTCACACTTTATTCACAATGGAACAAAAAACCCCACAGAAATCAAATGTTAAACTGAGAAAGTGTGACATTTTAGGAAAAGTATTAGCTCGTTTTGGATTTGATGCCAGCAACATATTTCAAAAAAGTTGGCACAACAAAAGGTTGGAAAAGTGAGGGTTGGTTAGAAGAACATCTTAAGAGGCAGAGGTTCACCAATCTGCAATAAACCGATGTATAAATTGTTGAGCAGTGTCAGAATAATCTTACTCTGTATAAAATGTTACATACATAACCCTTAAAAGTGCAAAATATAATATAAAATAGATACATATATACAGACTACAGAATCATTGGTATCTTGTGATATTGTGGCTTCACTTGTTTTCGTCCTCTAAGTTTCACCTTCTTATGTTACAGTGTGCAACTTTCTAAAAGTTTACCATTTTATTTTCCATTATTGTATTTTTTGTACTGTAAGGCGCACTTAAAATCTTTTAACTTCTCAAAAATCAACAGTGTGCCTTATGTATGAATTCTGCTTGTGCTTACTGACCTCAAACTGACTTTGTGGTACACAGCGCTCAAAAATCAAAACGACTTCAGTGAGCTTGATGGATTTTCGGAGCATTACGGCTACCGTAGTCAGGAGCCCCGCAGTGTAATCTGGGTCCAATACTCCATCTGCTTCAGGTCCCAAAGTCAAACGAACACTGCGGCATCACTGAGAGTTAAAAACTTTCTAAAATTCTTTCATCTTTAATAAAATGATCAGCGTTTATGCTTTACCAGGTGTAACAATTAAGTTTAACATCCAGGCATCCATGAAAACAGAATTTGTTAAATCTAAGGAAATTAGAAGTTAGCA